TGAGTTATCCATTTATAGCGAATTCATCAGGTGTCAGTCTAAGCCTGATGTTAAATTGTGCATCAATCCTTGTAAATGTGCTAAGTGTAAGTTCAAAAGCAAAATCCAGTTATTTTGTTTCTCTATTTGTGTGTATCTAGGATGCATATACAGAAAATGAGGTCATGTTAAGAGACTTGTCGTATATATTTCCTGCTGATTTATTTTGTCTTTGTGTATATAAATAGGTGTCTGCCATAACCGGATTGTTGATCCTGCAAAATAGAGCTGTGGTAAACAGACCTTCTTTTATCTTTATTTTTAAAACTATGGACCAATTTTATCGTCCCAACTAAATTTATTGTATGAAACAACCAAAACAACAGGACCAGAGCCAACGAGGGGCGGCTAATGGGATTGCTATGACTGCCATGTCTCTCTTTAAGACGGTTGGACCAGCTGGTGCAGGCATCTTGTAAGTGACATTTCGAATTAACGCGTAAGTGAATGCAAAGAAGCAGTAATGACTTAAAACACACGAATCTCTATTGCTGGCAGATTTTCTTGGAGCGAGAGGCGATTAAACGCCGCATTTCTACCAGGTAATTCATTACTTGCCATTTTTTTTTTTAATGACATTCATAATACTTGTGCTTGTGCTTGACAAAATAAACTGAAAACGTATGCAGGATCGCATATGGTGTTCTTCGTCCTGAATGTGATAGTTGTGGTCGGTGTAGCACTCACCTTCAAGCCATTTCTAACGACAACGGCCCGAAGATAAAATTCATTCGAATTGATAAGATAGGAAAATGTAATGGACTCTTTGATTCTTTTTTAATTTCCGATTCGAAAGAAACCGTAATAAAAGTTTCACTAACCCTTTAGGATCTCAGCATTCTTTTTTATTTTTCTTTTGTCTTTTTTGTTTTGCTTTGTCTGGTTGAATCTTCAACCAAGATACATACACCAAAAAGATTGATTAAACATCAGGGCTTTCATAGTCATGGAGCCATGGAGGTCATCCAGAGGTGGTCATATATTTATTAATCGGTTAACAAATCATTTATCAAATGGACCGATGATTTGTCAGAAACTATTTTCATATACGGCTAAAGGAAAATTAGAAGATGAGACTGACCGGACCTTACGTGAGGTGGTCTTTGAGCCCTTGGTTTTACTCTTTAGTTAGTACAAACCGTGACATAGTTTTTTGTCATTGGTGTGATATGCACACGTTGCAAGCTGAATAAATTATATAACTTGATGAATAAATATTTAGTATCCTAAAGGACAATATTTTTGGTTGTTGTTTTACAAACTTTTAGTGCCGACCTCTCTTGCTTTTGACAGCAAATGCGACCCCTTATTTGCAAAACAATTTACTACTAATTAAAGTAAGTATACGATTTGAGTGATTAATTAAACTAAACCTTATAAAGATCCGCTTTGGCTATGATTGTTAGTAATAATTTATTACTATATCGTTCGGACTTCGCAGCCTTTTCTAGACTAATCTGGTTTTTGGCTGGCGGGATGGTCAAATAATTCAAGCTATATGCTTTTTTAGCCATGAGTAACTTACATTACATATATTCTAAAATTTATCAAACTTTTAAACAAGCTTTTAAGTATTTAAGATTTTGGGGAGATGCTGTTTAGATTTTGACAATATTATAATGAAAATTTTTAATTTATACTATTAAAAGGGAAGCAATTTTTGTGAGTGTAACCAAACAGATTAAATAGAAAAAATGAAATAAAATGTAATCCTAAACATACACCCAAACAGAATTAATGACAGATTTTCAAAAGACAAAAATATGTTTTAAAATAAATAAATAATCAAAATTAATAACTAACCAATATTCATGGTAATCATAATAAATTTGTTACAAATATTTGTGCCCTATTAAGTTCAAAATTGAATATTTGTAAACATATTTTAGATTTTTATAATATATTATACCTAATTTAAACTAATATATTTTAAAATATTTTAATATTTTAATTTTTTAAACGTTTAAAATAAATTTATATTTATAGTATTTAAATTGTATATATGTAAACAGTTTAGATTAGGTAAATAAAAGTTTGAAATAAATTAGGTCCAAGGAAAGATTAAAATACTATAAATATCTAAATTCATTTATAGTATTTAAATTGTATATATGTAAACAGTTTATATTAGGTAAATAAAAGTTTGAAATAAATTAGGTCCAAGGAAAGATTAAAATACTATAAATATCTAAATTATATAGAAGTTTAGTTATTATTAATATTTACTCCTTTAAAAGGTTTTAAAATATTATAAATATTTAAATTCCATGTAAAATATAAGTTTAAGCATTATTATATTACATATTACAAATTTCAAATATCTTGAAGACAGCAAAATATATTTTCAAAGGAAATAATTATGTTTGAAAAAAATAAATAATCATAACTAATAACTAACCAATAGTCATGGTAATCATAATAAATTTGTTACAATAAAATGTGGACAAACTTTTATTATAATCAAATAATATAATCACACTTTAATATACATTCCTAAAATATAGCAAACAATTTATTCAATACTCATAAAATTTTATGCTACACCATCGACTAATATCTTGGAGAAGATCAAAAATATAATCACACTTTAAAATACATTCCTAAAATATAGCAAACAATTTATTCATTAGTTTGGATTCATCAACTAATTTTTAATATAGTTAATAAATTATTTTAATCAATAATTAACTAACATTCATAAATTAAAGCAAAGCAACTAATCGTTTTCGAAATACACATTACAAAACAAATAAGCTTATAAGAAACCGATTTCAATGAATCAAATTTGGTAAATCAATACAATAAATCTAATCACTACATCTACTTAAATCACGATCAATATTTGTTTCCTAAACCAGAAAATCATAACTAACAATTTCGAAAATCAATTACTTACCAAACGATAACAACTAAATATATGAAAATAATAGAATAACTGCTGCAGATGCATATGTGTAGACAGACTATAGAATATATAGTATATAAAATGCTACAATCCAAATAGTATTAGAGATGCTATTTAAAATCAATGCACACACATCGTAGTACAAAGCATACATTTGTAAGATAGTACGTATGCGTTTGACTGTATGATCCGATCGTGTTTATACTTTCAACCTTTATAAATCTTTTGCATTTATACAATCTACTCATAGTACGTATTACGAATTTTACTACTGTCTTTTTTTATGTTTGAATTATCTTCTTGTGGTCATAACTTGCCAAAGGATACACTATCACTTAGCTTTATCCAACAAAAGCATGTTCAGCATAAAGGAGATAAGAAGGTGGATTTTTACAATCGTGTGGGAAGAAAGACTGTTTCTGAATTACTAGAAGCTACAGAGGTGATCCAATCAATACAACTTGATTCCTTTTTTATTTCGTGCTACAATTTTCTATGGTATTTAAAAAACTAACATATACTGTTTACATTTGTAGGAGGGGAAGTTTAAAATTATTGGAACTATCTTCAAGATAGACATGGACTTTGGATGGTATTATTTTACCTGTCTGAAATGTGATAAACTAAGTATAAACTTCAAGACCTCCACTTCGGTTATATTTCTTTCAATACCATCTTCAAGACTTTCTCATTATAAACTTTCGTTTTCCAATTAAATATTTTCTATTCTACTACTCCACTTAACAAATGCAGTCATTAATCCTACAACTAAATGAAAAAAAAAAAAAATTATCAAGCCAAATCATTTTAGATTATTTAAAAAAACTAAACCAGCAAACTATGCTTTGAAAATACATCCGCACGTACGTGTGGGTCATCATCTAGTTATTACTTAAACCACCTCCATTGTCATTTTACGGGTGTTTTTAGTTACACTTTTTAAACCAATTAGGTCCTCTAATATATCCAAATAACTAAATCTATCATTAATACTATTGGATTGAAGTGAATTCGCATCAAAATGACCCAAAAAAACAAAAAAATCATTTAGTTTTAGTAAAGCAATTGTATAGTACTAGTTAACAAATAACAACTCAACAATTGGGTCAAATATAATATACTTTTACAATACAAAATATACTTTTAACAAAGAAAAGTTCACAAAATAAAATTATTGAATTACATATGGTCCACGACAAAAGACAACAGGAAAAAAAAAGTTAAGTTTCTTATTAAAAAAAAAAAACAAAAAAAAAACTGAATATCTAAACATGGATGTCGACAACCAAACTCTTGGAAAAGGAAAATTAAAATGGAACCATTAATGTCAATTAAATTTCATCTCACATCCATGGACGTGGTTGTTTTTGTGGAAACCATTAATGTACACAGTACACCTTCCCCATGATCGGTGCATGAAGTACCCAAAAACAAAAATAAAAACGTTGAAAACAATACGAGTACTTGAGACTCTTGTCGTATTTATTAGGTCATCCATTACATCACAATAATATAAATATCGTCAAAGCTCTACAATACAATGATTCCAATCAAATATAACAATCACAACGTACTGTCTTACACACATGACGACCCTACGAATTTATTCACGTAACTCGAAAGATTTACATAAGACCGGCCAGTACTATACCATATATATATGTATTTTATTTTTTTCTTTGGGCAACTAAAGACAAGTACTACTATAATATATAGTATTAAACAAGATTCACGAGTAAATAACAACCAAAGATCTCCCAATAATTTTCGAAAAAAAGTTACACCTCAACAATGCAAGAAAATGACATTTTTTCCATTTTAAAAACATAATTTTATTAGAGTAGGCCGACGACTGACGACTGAAGAAGTGGCAGGATGTGCTTTTTATATTTTTAATTAAAATAAAAAATGCTAATGTGATTGATTAATTAAGAGGTGGTGACATGTCATAGCGATTGGCTAAATTGCAAAAGAAAAAGTTGTTTTCTCCTTCTCTCTCTCTTTATATATTATATAGTAATTACTTTGTGGCAAGAAAGAGAGAGTACGTGAGAAAATCATTAGCATCAAAAACCATATCGCCCATCTTCCCCCCCTCCCTCTCATTAAAAAAGCAGACACATCTCCCAAAATTGTTACGATTGATTGATTAGTGTGTGTGTGTGTGTGGATAATGGCGGAAGAGTATAGGGAGTGTTTGCTGGAGAACAATAAGTACCATGAGGATTGTCCTGGCTGCAAGGTTGATCGGATGAAGAGCCTTCGCCGTGGCTTCCCTTTCTGGGAGCTTTTCACCGTTTGGATCATCGTCCTCTGCACTGGTACCATCTCTTTCTCTCTCTCTCTCTTCCTATTTCCATATTGGATCCAATATGTTTTCTTATATTGATGATTTGCTTCTTTCATTTTTTGCATTCTTGCTTTCAGCTCTACCAATTTCTTCTCTTTTCCCTTTCCTCTACTTCATGGTCAGTACTGACTTACCCACATAATATTGGTAGTTTTGTCAAGTGGTGCTTTGGATTTTCCTGTTGATGATTATTAAAAACGTGTGACATTAGAATCTGGTTGTGTACATGTTACTAGATTGATGATTTTGACATAGCAAAGAAGGAAGAAGACATTGGTTTCTACGCTGGATTTGTTGGTCAGTTTTGTCTCTTTATTATTTACTACTGTATAATCTCTCTCTCTCTCTTTCAAGTGTTTTTCAAGCTCACATTATGTGTGTTGTTGTTTACCTTTTGGAGGTTGCTCTTTCATGCTCGGACGAGCTTTGACCTCTGTGATCTGGGGAATTGTTGCTGATCGTTATGGTAGAAAGCCTGTTATCCTTATTGGAACCGCTTCAGTGTTAGTATTTTTCTTGTGGATCTCTCTCTCTCTCTCATTAGCCTTTCGTTATATTTCCTTTTTTTTTCAAAGAAAAACCAATTCTTTGATTCTGTTGCAGTGTCGTTTTCAATACTCTCTTTGGCCTAAGTTTAAATTTCTGGATGGCCATCATCACAAGGTTTTGTCTCGGTAGTTTCAACGGTTTACTTGGTCCTATCAAGGTCTTCTTCTCTCCTTCTCTTGAATACATTATTCATACTTGGTTCTATATATGAATTTCTTGAAGCTCATTTTTTTGATGAATTCAGGCATACGCAGTAGAAACATTCCGTGATGAGTACCAAGGTTTAGCACTCTCAGCTGTAAGCTCCTTGTTCCCTAGTTTACCTCTTTGTTTTTTTTCCCAATTCAATAGATAAAGAATTTAGGATTTTAACTTATCCCTGTAGGTTAGTACAGCATGGGGAATTGGACTCATCATCGGCCCTGCTATAGGAGGTTTTCTTGCTCAGGTCTTCTTCATTAACAAAACCATTTCTATCTTGTTTTCTCATCCTACCTCTCTCGCCTTTCTTGATTCTTGTTTAATCTCCCTATCTTGTAGCCTGCAAAGCAATATCCAAGTTTATTCTCACATGACTCGATTTTTGGAAGGTAAGTGTTATTTTCTTATCTCTACTTCACTTTCTCATTTAGCTAATACATATACACAGTCTCACTCGTCTATAAATCATATTGCAGATTCCCCTACTTTTTGCCGTGCTTTGCAATATCCATTTTTGCATTCTTGGTGACACTAATTACATTATGGATTCCGGTACGCTCTTTACTTTTCCTGCTCCATGAAGTCCCTAGTTACTGTGTTTAATTAGCTTAAAGCCTAGAGATGGTTGTTTCTCCTCTTCAGGAAACATTGCACAATCACAAGTTTGATGATGAGCAGTCTTATGATGATGTTAAAGTTTTGTCTCATGACCCTGAATCTAATGAAGTGGCAGAGAGAAATGAAAAAAGTTCTCTCTTGAACAACTGGCCTCTAATTTCATCTATAATCGTCTACTGCATCTTTTCACTTCATGATATGGCTTACTCAGAGGTGAACACTCTTCTTCTTCTTCTACATTCATCTTTTTATTTGTTTATTTTGGTCCTTGAATGAAATCTTGAGCTTTCTTTCTTCGATAGATCTTTTCATTGTGGGCAAACAGCCCGAGGAAATATGGAGGTTTGGGATACACCACTGCAGATGTTGGTTCTGTTCTTGCAATTTCAGGTGTGTCCACACGTCTCAGTGCTACCATGTTTCATACATTTATAACATTCTGACCTAGACACTACTTCTTTCTAGGCTTTGGTCTCCTTATCTTTCAGCTTTCGCTCTACTCTTATGCGGAGAGGCTTTTAGGACCTATCATAGTTACACGTATATCTGGGGTAACCACTATACTCTATTGTTCTCACTGAAAAAACTTATGTTTTTTGAGGACGAACGTTCTAATCTTGTGCTTATTTTTCTATACACACAGAGTCTGGCTTTAGTTCTCTTATCAACTTACCCACTAATAGCAAAATTATCTGGTGTCGCCCTTACCCTGACATTAAACTCTGCATCCGTAGCAAAGACTGTTTTAAGCGTAAGTCTCTGATAACCTTAAAGTAGAAGAATGTGTAATTTGGAATTAAGTTCATATTCTCAACAGTTGTTGTTGTGTGTGTTAATGTGTGTAGACTTCAGCTATAACTGGATTGTTCATCCTTCAAAACAGGGCTGTGGTAAGTCATTTCACAACATTAATTTAGTTTACTATTTAGTTGGGTGAGAAACCAGCAATAGTTAGATCAACCTCATTAAACCTTTATTAACAATAATATAATAGAGACAAGACCAAAGAGGAGCAGCTAATGGGATTGCCATGACAGGGATGTCGTTTTTCAAAGCAATAGGTCCAGCAGCAGCAGGAATCATGTAACTTCTTCTACCTCATTTTTACAACTTTTGCTATAAAAGAAACAGCAAGAACTTGTTTGCTTCTTCTCGCAAGGCTCTTTCTTTTTGTTTTTGATTCGCTTACAAGAACTTTGTTTGTCCGCAGTTTTTCGTGGAGCGAGAAACGTCAGGATGCTTCATTTCTCCCTGGTAATGTCTCAATCTTCATGTTCATATCCAGCCACGTTATTAATCAACTAGTAGCAATATAATTGAGAACTTATAAACACTTTTAACCAAAACCAAGTGAGACTAGTATTAAAGATGGTGAGAATGTGCAGGCACCCAAATGGTATTCTTTATACTGAATGTGGTATTGGCACTCGGAGTTCTAATGACGTTCAAACCGTTTTTAGCTGAAACACAACATTAAGAAGCATTGAAGGTGTTGGATCAAATGACAAGACTGGACTGTTGTATCTTAATGTATTTTGTCTGATGCCAGAGTTAGATCAGAGATGTGTTTAAAACATGGCACAGGGGAAAACAAAAACAAAAAAACTTGTTAGAATGTTGTCATCATCCCCTATATATATACATATATTGGACAAGTTGTTCACAAAATTTTGTATCTGTGTCAGAACAATTGTAAGAACATTTTTTTTTTAATAAATAAAATATTGTTTTGTAAATAAGTTATAACATGTCATTGTTTCATTATTTATACGTACTCGATCAGAAATTGTGCTCAGATTAAGTTTCTAGAGACTAGAGGTTTGAAGTCACAAATTCGTGAGTTCCGGAGAAAAATTTGCGAACGCTTATCCGAAGTGATGATGATGACTCAACCCCCTAAGCTGATCAAATCAAAACATGGAATATATTTAATGAAGTCTTTTTTTGTGGTGCAACAAAGTTATCTAAATGATGATGTATGGCGATAATGCCTACTAGTAAAAATGCTCTTCGAAACTCTTCTGAACGTAGACGGAACTCTCAATCTGAGTCCATGGAACAACAAAATCGCAACCGTCCATCTCTAAAAGTCAAAACCGCAGACGTGCCGCTTCTTTTTACTTGTTGTAGCTTACACGTCAATGCTTGTCGATCTCATCATCCTCCTTGTCTAAACAATCTTCACGTGTGTTTTTATATTCCAACATGCAGTGCAGACCAAGTGGAACAAACAACAAAAGGGCAGTCACTAACGCAGCATACTTGTCGATGGCGAGAGTGTCGATTACGCGCCGAGTGATGTTGCAGCACTTTTGTACCAAGCCATCAAGGTCATAATAATCCATAAAACGTTACTAATAAATGGTGCCAACGACCAAAAATTAAAAGAAGTAAATCAAAAGGTTAAAAAACAAAAACAAAAACAAAAACGAAACAGTAACATCATCCCCCACGCACCAATCACACAGATAACGTAATCAAATTATATCATTCCACTTTTAAGAGAAGAAACTTTTTTTTTTCTTTTTGCCAAACATTCCAAGCCAGGAAGAGACGACGACCACCATCGCCGGGAAAGTGACGTCACTAGAACTCGTCAATGAGTGCCACTGAGTCCGTACGATATCTCTGTCCGAATCCTGCATTTTCCTTAACATTTCTTTTGCAAAATAATCTAAAGTCAATGATCAGTTTTATGTTTTTCTTTCCTTTTGAAGGAGGTAGAGAGAGAAAGCAAAGGAGGAGAGACGTTAGAGAAAGAGAAGCAAAGAGGAGTAAAGGGTGTTGAGGAGGATGGAGAAGAATCAAAGGATAAAGACGAAATTAGTCACCATAGATTTTTAGCAAGCTTGAACAGATTAAACCCAACTAACCCTCTTAGGATCATTGTTAATGGCGCTGGTGGTTCTAGATTCACTACGCCTCCGCCTCCCAATCTCGCACAACCACTCCGATCTTCCTTAAGACACCCGCCTCAGCCTCAGCCTCAGCCTCCGCCGCCACGGCCGCAGACGCCTCCCACCCTCGTGCCAGAAGAGCCTCAGCCTCAGACTCCTCCGCCGCCATCTCAACATCAAACTCGTTCCATCTTCACACCGACCCCTCAAGTAATTTCCTTTCCATTTTGCATTTCAGCTTGAAAGTTTTCAGAGGATTCTAAAGATTTGGGGAAAATGATAAGAGATTTTTAAGCCTAAAATTTAAACTCTTTACTGAATATTTGGGTGGGTCTTCTTTGAAAGTAGGTAGGATCTCTGAGCTAAAGTTTCCTAATTTATTTGGTTTGCAGCCAACGTTGGCATCATTGAATTCAACCAAGTACACAAACAAGTTCTTTCTGCTGCTCTTCATATTTCACAAGGTTGTTGCTATTGGGTTTGTGTGCTTCCTTGTCTTCAGAGGCGTCCAAGGTCTAATTGGATCCAATGGCCGTGTCAAAAGGAAAGAGCAGAAGATCCTCAGATTTCTACTTCCACAAGTCGAAGCTGCATCACTCTTGAGCATCATTCTCGCATTCCTCTGGCAAATGGCATTCCGGATTTGGCCTGAATTCATGATTCACTTCATACTCTGGAGCACCTTTTTGATGTCGTTATCCTCAGGAATTCTCTTACTGTGTTTTCAGATGCCAGCCACCGATGCTGTTGGGGTTTGCCTCATTGCATTCTCAATTGGCAATGGTTTATATGCTTGTTGGGTCACTCGCAGAATCAAGTTCTGTTCCAAGATTTTGGTTAAGTCATTAGAACCTGTTTCCAAGTTCTCGGATTTGAATTTACCCACCTACTACATGCTAGCTGCTGGTTTCCTCTGGATGTCTCTTTGGATTTTCGGTGTCATCGGTGCCTTGAACTTCTATTTCCCGCCACTTGTGATTATTGGCTTGGTGTTAAGCCTGGCATGGACGACAGAAGTGATGAGGAATGTTGTTAATCTAACTGTGAGTCGAGTCATTGCTTTGTACTATCTTAGAGGAATGCAGTCTAGTACCCGCTTTAGTTTCCAAAGGGCCTTGTCTCGTAACCTTGGGAGCGCGTGTTTAGGATCTTTGTTTGTTCCAACAATAGAAGCCTTAAGAATCTTGGCAAGAGGACTGAATTTGCTTAAGGGTGAAGATGAGTTCATGTTTTGTTGCGCTAATTGCTGTCTCAGACTCATGGACTTCATATTTGAGCATGGCAATGGCTGGGCCTTTGTACAGGTACTTCAACTAATTCTTTAAACCATGCCAACTCGAATCATTTTATCAGTTTTCAAGGGAGCAGGTAAAAATTGATTTGTCATCATCTGTCCTTATTAGTAGTATATTAGTAGTATACTGTATATATCTGCAGCAGTCATTTTCTTTCTTTATATAAATATCTTCTTACAGAGAATCAGTCTAGGAATAGTATTAAAATCAAGTTGGTTGTGGTGGGTCTATATTTTTTTCTTTCTGTGGTATGAGAATCTTGCATCATCTTGAGAATACGAGGCATAACCACATGCGTTTCTGCATTTTTAGTAATTATTTTGAATCACAAATAAGAGTACAGGCTGGTATGTTTACTTTTTGCAAAATCATTTGAGATTTGAATAATAAGACTAGCCAGATTACTTTGTGTTCAGCATTTTTACGTGTCTTACGTTGTTAAGTTAAGGTTGTGAATACATCGTTGTTACAGATAGCTGCTTATGGGAAGGGATTTGTGAGGGCGTCGCAAGACACTTGGAAACTGTATGAGGATGTAGATATGGTAGAGATCATAGATGCAGACATAACAAGCTCCATCTGCTTCCTCACGGGGATCTGCAGCGGATGCGTCTGTGTAATTGTCGTGGCCGCTTGGACTCACACAGTTTACAAACCATTTACAGCCACCATTTCTTTACTTGCCTTCTTCATTGGATACCTCATGGTAAATGACACTTTTTACTTTTGAACTCTAAAACTTTTTGAACTCTAAAACTGTTTGGTTCAACAGTGTTCTAATCAATGTATCATCCTTTCTCTTTTGGGATTGTGTTAACAGACCAGGATATCAATGGCATTGCCACACGCCTGCGTAGGTTGCTACTACACGTGCTACGCGGAGAATCCAGAAAACAGATTCTTCGACAATAAACCGATAAAAGATAGGCAAGCTTTGATAAAAAATGGACGTGTTGCTGTCACCACTCCTAGAGTCCGCCGTTCTCTAGCCTAGCCTAGCCTGATCATCTCTTTGTTTTACCTCCTGCCTGATTGATATGGATTATATATAGGTGTTAAATTTTCTGAAATCAATAACAACTAGTTAAAATCATTTGTAATTTAAAAATTTGAAAATTAATTTAGTGACAGAAAGAGTAAAGAAGAGTCAATATCAGTGGGATGGGGAAGATATTTGTGGATAGACATAAGCTTGTGACATCAACACAATCCAACTAATGTGCCAAAAGCCAAGTTGGTTGAGCTTTTTTTTTTTTACTTTTCTTTTCTATTTCTTTGTTGTTGTTGGTGAGACCACTCGATTACTTTCTTCTGTACGTGTACATATTTATTCTTTTGTTCCTTTCTGTAATTGAGTATATTCCTTTCTCAAAAGTTTTAAAGTAGTTTGTTTTTGAAACTTCTATAAACTTTTTTTGTAGCCAATCTTTTTAAGTAATTTAGGCTTTAGGTTTCTGGATATGGGTATATTCCTTCCTCTACTTTGTTTCATCGAGTTCAGTAACAAAAACAGTGCTCTCTTGCTGCTTATATAAACTTTTTAGAAGTCTTCCTCCTCTGTATATCACCTATGTAAATCGATAACCAAAATAATTAAGAAAAAAAGAAGTAACTTTGTTGGTTTCTTTCTTGTAATGATAACATTCTATTACTTCAAAAAAAAAAGCTCAGACTGAAAACCCAAACTGAAAAGTTCAGTTCGGTTATTCTAAGTTTGTTAAAGCCGAAAAGGCCCATAAAAAGCCCATTTACAAGAATCGTAAACCGATCCAAAGAAGTCCAAATCTTATCAAGACATGAAATCTAAAATACGCCACGTGATTCGTCGATTACGCACGAACCCGTACACACACACAGACACACAAATAAAAAATGAAAAAGAATTCAAACGTGTGGTCGAATTTTATCCTCGCGCTGAATTAGCATCCACAAGTGAAGAAAAGAGAAGAGAGAAGTCTCTCTCTCTGTCCTGCTCAGACACAAACAAATGGCCATCGCGAGTGGTTCGTGGGTAGCCACCGTGAACCACCATGCCAATCCCCACAGCTTCACTTCTCCGACGAAACACATTTTCTTTTTTTCCCAGAAGCCTCACCATTCCCATGTCTGCTCGTCTCGATGCTCTCTGGTTCTTGAGGAAGATGAAAAGAAGTCGCCGGATCCGAAAGGAGACAAGTGGCCATTTTTTGGACCGGGCACAGGTGATATTGACCGGGTACTATCCAGGTTTCTCCGAGACCCGGAAACACGGAAACTTTCTTCTGAATTCTACGAGAAAGCTAAGGACAACTCAGAGTTGAGGACGACCAAGCACCTGATCAATTACTTGGTGAGTTCTAAGAACTGGGATCTGCTCGTCTCCCTCTGTGAGGATCTTAGGGAACATAAAGCATTTCCCGATGCTCAAACGTGTACCAATCTGATCAGGAGTTGCATCAGCAATAAAAAATTCCGAATTACACATTGCTTGCTAAGCGTGTTTAGATCAGACAAATCATTGGCGGTGTCTGCATCTGATGCAGCGATGAAAGGCTTTAACAAACTCCACATGTATAGTAGCACGATCCAAGTGTTTGATAGGATGAAACAATCTGGAGGAGTACTTGAGCCAAGTCCGGGCTGTTATTGCAGGATCATGGAGGCTCACGAGAGGATTGGTGACAATCAAAAAGTGGTTGAGTTATTTCAAGAGTTTAAGAGTCAGAGGTTAAGCTTCTTGGCAAAGGAATCAGGCAGTATCTACACGATTTTGTGTTCTTCCCTTGCAAAGTCAGGACGAGCATTAGAAGCTCTAGATTTTTTGGAGGAGATGAAAGATAAAGGAATTCCGGAAAGTAGTGACTTGTACTCTATACTGATCCGTGCCTTTGCAGATGCACTAGAGGTTGAAATCGCCGAGAAGCTATTCAAAGAAGCAGGACGGAAGAAACTGTTGAGGGATCCAGAAATGTGTTTGAAGGTTGTATTGATGCATGTCCGAGAAGGAAAAATGGAGAGAACTCTAGAGGTTGTGGCCGCAATGAGAGAGGCTGAATTAAAGGTCACTGATTGCATACTCTGCGCGATTGTGAATGGATTCTGTAAGCAAAGAGGTTTCGCCGAAGCAGTGAGGGTTTATGAATGGGCCATGAAGCAAGAATGTGAGGCTGGGCAAGTGACGTACGCAATAGCCATCAATGCATACTGTCGGATAGAGAAGTACGACAAGGCTGAAAATTTGTTTGATGAGATGGTAAAGAAGGGATTTGACAAATGTGTTGTCGCATACTCAAATATAATGGATATGTACGGAAAAACAAGGAGGTTAAGTGATGCTGTGAAACTCATGGCTAAGATGAAACAAAGAGGGTGTAAACCCAACATCTGGATTTACAACTCCTTGATTGATATGCATGGAAGAGCTATGGACATTAGGCGGGTTGAAAAGATATGGAAAGAGATGAAGAGGGCAAAGGTGTTGCCCGATAAGGTGAGTTACACCAGCATGATCAGTGCGTATAATAGAGCAAAAGAGTTGGATAGGTGTGTGGAGCTTTACCAGGAGTTTAGGATGAACCGAGGAAAAATCGATAGGGCCATGGCAGGAATCATGGTTGGTGTTTTCTCCAAAACCAGCAGAATTGATGAACTAATGAGGTTGTTGCAGGACATGAAAGTTGAAGGAACCAGGCTTGATGCAAGGCTCTACACCTCAGCTTTGAATGCTCTTCGTGATGCTGGTCTCAATTCCCAGATCAGATGGCTGCAGGAAAGCTTTGACGCTGCACAAACTAGTGGTTCAAGATATTCGAATATGAACAACAGAAAAAATTTACAGGGTTCTTGAGTTGAAAGTAAACTGTCGAATTCAAGATTCTTTTGTAATTAAATGTACAATATTGCCACAGAGATCTTGTATCTCGCGAATAGAAGATTTCCATCTGAAGTTGTAAAGCCTTAATGAAAGCTTGGGATTCCAAAACATGATACATAAAAAGAACAGCTAAGTTTCAAGTACAGCCAAAGAAAGACAAAGGAGTAACACAGAGTTGGTTACCAAATGTATTGTTCACTCGAAATCATATGAATCTCGCGAATAGAAGATTTCCATCTGAAGTTGTAAAGCCTTAATGAAAGCTTGGGATTCCAAAACATGATACATAAAAAGAACAGCTAAGTTTCAAGTACAGCCAAAGAAAGACAAAGGAGTAACACAGAGTTGGTTACCAAATGTATTGTTCACTCGAAATCATATGAATGGAAAATAGTGAGCAGTACTAGAGCGAGCCAGCAAACCCAACTCAATATACCCATAATTATCTTGTAATACTGCTTTCGAGTCTCACTTCGAAACTGCTTTAGCATCTACGGCTTGAGTTGTTTCAACAGCTTTTGCATCACCTGAACAACATCCACCTCCATGGTGATGATGACTGTGGCCGTGGTGATGGTTTTGCTTCCCCTTCAAATGCTTACGCATGTCATAAGCGTCCTCCCCATCCGCGTAATACTTTGCTTCTACATCATTAATCTTGTAGCCTAATGTCTCTGTGTACAGGTTGAATGCCGCTCGGTTACTTCTCCTCACATGCAGGGAAACATACTCTGCCTCGTAAACCTGCCACAAAAGCCTTAAAATGATTTAAACAGTTCAAGTTTGATAGGAGAAAAAACAACAATCAACCTTGGTTCACAGGTAAATCAGAAAATAATTTTTAGTCAGTTCAAAGCATAACACAATCAGGGACAAAACTTAAAATCTTATACAGTCTACAGAGCTTGAGTTGCTTCAAAATCCAATCAAGAGAAGAAAACACAATCCCTATAGTCGAACCAATCAATAATTAATAACAGGGATAAGATCCCAAAAATTGATACAAAAATTCATATATTTTCAGTAAGAATCACCTAACTTACATAATCATATCAATCTTCAACATAAACGCAAACCACACAAATTCGTCTAAAAGAAGGATATATTATCCAAATTATACAACACGAATCTATATACTGCTTCAATGACTCAACTTGTTGAATGCAAACATATACGGAAGCAAAAAAAAAGGAAGAAGAGAAAAGCGAATTCAAAGATTAGAAACCTGTTCCATAGCAGCCTGAGCGGCGGTCATGAGCTTAGTGGCGAGACCGAGCTTCCTATGAGTACGAAGAACAGCGAGAGAAGTGATATGGCCGTGACACTCATTGCTCTCTTCCTCCATCTTGGCCAGCACATAGCCAACGATGCGACCATTGTAGTCCTCGGCGACGTAGAGAAGCTGAGGCCATGAGAGGATATGGTAGAGGTAATACTTCATCTGGTAGTTCTCAGGAAGACACATGAGATTGCAGGCTTGCATCGCCAGCAAATCATCCACCGTCGCTCGCCTGATGCAAACCATGGCTGCTCAATGCCGATTTCTTCTCTCTCTCTCGCGGGGATAAAGAGGGGTTAGGGTTTCGGTCTAAATTAAATGCCTTCTCGGGCTTTATTAATCTGGGGATGAATTGTAATAATTGAGAATCTGAAGTCCTTATTGAAACTGTTGCTGATAGTTTGGGGGCATATTAATAATAAAATTATTCTGTACTTTTTACTTATTTAGACATTCTAGTCCAATTGGGACTTAATGATGATTGTAATGAAATAAGAAGATTCCGACAACCTTCGCTTTAGGGGTGAGCTCTGGATTGTCCCAAGTTTACTTTTACAAAATGTGATTGGTCATACAATAGGACTACTAGTTTTTATGATTGATCATTGTAAATACTTTACCGCATTGATAAGTGTTTACGTGATTCAAAACCACTCCAAGCCTTTCACTAGTTTATCCCTTACATATGAATTGGTGACTTGAAGGAAGTAAAAAAAAAGGAACCATAGAGCTATCTCTCTGTCAATTCTTCCAATTGTATTTTTTTTAATCAACTATTGGAGATATCAAATAACTTTTTGCGCTATGCATATCTTCGTGATCGGAGAGACAGACAAAAAATCATCAACAGATTGAAGTACAGAGAGTTTAGGTTAGAAGACAATGCAGATGAGACAAGTTAAACTTCTCTTGTTTTTGCAAGTATCTCTCTCAAATTACTTCAAAATAATGTGATATTTGCTAAAGAGGAAACATTTTCTACCTCACTCTAATGTCTCTCTATAACTAAACAGAGAGAATCATTTGTTTTCAGGTAGAATTTTTGCTAAACTAGACTGATCCTGTCTGCAGTAGCTCTGGTAGTGTTTGTTGTCACTGATTCGCTTGACGGGCTCTCTCTGTCTCCTTCATTCTTCCTTCTATCATGTGCCTCTCCAGGCAACCTTGGAGAAATGACAAGTAGTAAAAATTTATTATTCCATTAGTGTTTTAAGGCATATGCATAAGGGAGTAAGACAACCGACTTTGTATCTGAAATGAGTTTCATATATTGCAACTAGTGACAGCAAACTGAAAGAGCAATACCCTAATTGCAAAGTTGTGTCTGAATCGGTTTTCTGGAGGCTGCAGTTACTGTCTTCCAAGCAGCCATGGTTTAGGATAGCGTTCTTGGGATCTATAGCGAAGCATTTGATGTAGGATGGAACATAGTGGGTGAACGCCGGGAGAAAGTTTCTGAGTTCTTGAACCTGTTTTAGGAGATAAACTGTCAGAGAAATATGCTTTCATGACCGGAGGTGATTCGACAAAACTAAAAAGAACCTGTCTGCGTAAGGTCTCGTTTTCCAACTCTGCTCGCTGTTCCTGCAAAGTAAATATTATGGCTGGTCAAGAAAAGAAATATATATTTTGTACTCTGTACATAGTCAAGAGTCTTAAGACAAATAAACTGCATACTAGCTAATTAGAGCCTGAGCTTGTCAAAATGACATCAGTTTTAACAAGATCAGAATCATGTAATCACATACTGTATATAAGCTTACATTTAGTTCATTATATGCAGTTGGAAGCAAAAGAGGAAAAGCTAGTGTTTACCTTGAGGCGTGATTCTTCAAGCTGGACAGTCAACAACTGTTCCTGAAATCACCAGAAAACCTTTATTAGGAAAATGCAGAGAGGAGGAATGAGGGAAGAGTGATATTACTAGTTTACCTTTCGCTCTCTCACAGATATCAACGCATGATAAAGTTGCTGCTCAAGGTTTTGAAGCTCTTTGAAGCTCAGAGTATTCAATCCCTTACCCTGAAGCTGTCTACAGAGAACACAGAAAGCCAAATAAATTTGTAAAAACAAAGTAGAGAAGTATATGAAGTAAGAATTTGGTATAGTGGGATATATTTAGATTCCATACAAATGTTTCTCCTGAAGCTTTGAAATTTCATCCTTTAAAAGGTCCATCTCGGTACAATCCTCCTGGAGGTTCTAAACAGGCAATAATCAGATTATGATGCTAAAAAAAAAAAACAACAATTTCAAACATATGTGAAAACAGACTAAAATTCTCACCTCTACTTTAGAATCTGAAGAACTCTGGTAGTTGCCGTATCTAGAAAGTGTTTTCTTCATCCTAAAAAACAAATTAGTAACTCTCATGAGCTCAAATCAGAAACCTTTTAAGTCAAAATGATCCAAACGAACATGCAAGATTCAATTTTTTCACCTAGGGGGTCAAACACTGTAAATCTTAAGCCTTTTTCCCAAATAGAGTCACACATCAAAATCAAGACATGCAAATACAAAAATCAAAAGTAAAAAGTAAATAATTACCCAGAACTGGAGAACTCAAAGAGCTTGCCAGACTTGGAGAAGACGATGACAGCAACCTCAGCATCACAAAGAACAGAGAGCTCATGAGCTTTCTTAAGCAAACCAGCACGCCTCTTGGAGAAAGTAACTTGCCTGCTGTTGGCATTCTCGATCCTCTTAATCTCGATTTTACCACGACCCATCTCTCACTTGTCTTTTAATTTCCCCCAAATATTTAGAATATCGCATATACATACATACACACACAGAGAAGAGAAAGGAGAAGAGAAAGAAGAAGAGAAGAGAAAGGTTGAACCTTTCCAACTCCCGTCTCAAAAATGGGGTTTTGGAAGTCCTTTTTTGGGGAATCTATTATAATGGGAACACTAAAAGTTTGCTAAATTTGGATTTTTGATTTTTAAAGAGGAAGAGAAAGAAAAATAACTAATGAATGTTGTGTGTTGCATGGCCACTGTTTTGCGTGCTCTCTGCTCTCTCTCTTCTTTTTTTTTTTTTTGTTTAGAGGTATTTGCATGACACCTTTTTGCCACATTTGGAGGATTTTGCCAGTTCTTTTGGGTCCTACTTTCCTTTTTCTTACTAATAAAGTTTGTTTTTTTTCTTCTTCTTCTTCTTCTCTTTCTTTATTGTTTTACTTAAATGTTTTTTAATTTCTTTTTACATAAATGGTGAAACAGTAGAATCTAAAGAGACCACCAATCCTAATCTCATGTTGGATGGATAGCCTTCTTATAGATTTAAATTCACAGACCAAAAAATGAGTTTCAAGCCAAGGGAAGAAGACCTACTTACTCGATTAGCCTTGCCTCGAAAAAGTTACCAATTGATATGTCTTTTCAAACACCCCAATTCATTCTTCAAATTATAATCGTTCAACCAAGAAAGTAGTAGATAACATGCATGTTCAAAATGCATACTCACATGCCTCACTTATATTGACTTCCAACTTTCTTCTACCACATGCCCTTCTACTTTCCTATATCAAATTTGAAGACAACTCATATGGCCTGCAGGCAGCTTTCAGTGAATTTTTGTTTGTTTGAGAGGGACTCTCCCCCTCTAGTGTTGGTTGTCTGTAGTTTTCTATTACTTCTTTCCAAAATAGATCAGTCCCATGTGAAAAGAATGGGACTCTTAATTTCCTGCTATGGAAGTTGCCAACAACACTAATGGTTGGTTATATGATCTAAACACAGTTACTGAAAAGAGAAATATATCAAATTCACCGTCTCAACAGAAAGACTTCACATGGAAGGGACACGCCCCTTAGAACTCTCTGACATTTGGCAGTCTCTATTTTACTGCACAAAGCTAGTCATTTTCAGGTTCCTGCTCTGCCTTTTTTTTTTTTTTTTTTATATCTGAACCTGTGGATGACTGATCGTATACAACACTGCAAGACGAGAGTTTCTTCGTTTTAGTCACTAACTATCAAGTAGATTGATATTTTCTCAACTTTTTCTCTTTGACCATTTAGAAATTTGAATGCTACATACATACATACATTATAGCTAGCATCGAGAATGCATCACCGATTACAACTAATTTACACTACACGACGACTGTTCCATGCTTCTTCTATGCAGACTTCCCTCCAAACACCCTTGTGAAACTGGATTTGAAAGATTCTCTAACTCCACTCCAGAACGACACGTTTGACCCATACACCCACAGATTCACTGCTTTCTTCCAACCATCTCTCGGGAACTCAATTTCTCGACTAAGGCTGGACTTCTCCAAGTCTTCTTCAGCCTCATCCAAAAGCGGGAGCGCTTCAAAACCACCAGACTCCAGATGCTTGATCCACCCGCGCATCAGATAGTTCACCACCTACTCGTTTTCATATCCCAAATAGGTTCATCACTCAGTTCCAAAGCTAACTAAAGAGTTTGAAGAATTTATTGAGTTGTTTTTGTACCTCCGGGACTTCGTCGTGTGGGCAGTGACCCGCAGGGCTGATCTCATAGTATGGAGCATTGGGGATTTCCTTCTTTATCTTCTTTCCCCAAATAGGTGTCACCCATGGATCTTCTCTTCCATACATGAGACATATTTGAACATTGTTCTGCTTACACCTAGCATGGACCATCAAATTGCATTCTTTGATAAGCGGCAAGACCAATGACGAAGAGGGAAAACACACATAAAACAAAAGAAGCATACTGTCTTATACCTAGATAAAGCTTCAGAGAACGATAGCTGTCCACCAGGAGCAAGCATGATTGAAGCAAACGATGCTGCAGCAGCCGGGTGCTGCGTGACCTCCACAATACGTGAGAATACTTTATCCACATTGGTAGAATGGTCTGTGTAGACTTGTTTAAGTATCTCAGCTATGCTTTCAGGATCACTTATCTTTTGCCACCTGCAATTTCATCCATTGCGAAGTAAAACAAAAGTAAAGATGTTAGACTGATAGAGATAGAAAATGGTAATTTGCAGGCCAGAAGGTGTGTTCATAAAGTCTCACTTACACCAATTCTGTGATTTTTTTCACTCTTTCCGGCAGAGGGAATGCTCCGGGCCATGGAAAGAGACGTGCTAGCTTTGGAGATCTTACTGGATTAGGGAAGAAACCCCAGAAAGGTGTTGCATTAAGCAAGGTAACACCCTTTACCAGGTGAGGATGGGTTGCTGCAAGGTAGAGAGCTACATACCCTCCAAGTGAGTTCCCTGCAATGTACACAGGCTCACCGATAACCTGTACAACAAATACCACATATTCAAATCGATTCAGCAACTTATTTCAGGGGAAATAGCGACAAGTGTTCTGGTGATTTCCTCAAATTCGTACTGAAACTAGAACACAAACAGAATCAAGAATATGAGTAAAATCTAGAGCATCCTGTACTCTTTCATGCCCAAACCAATCACAAAAGACTACATACCCACGCTACCAGGTGCTGATTTGGCAACTATTCAAATCCATGAGTATATGAGTCATAGCAACAATACATAATGAAAAAGCTAAAACACTGCACCATCCTCTTCTCCTAAACTTTCCAAGACTTACAGTTTGAACTTATGACTAAAAGTGAATCAAAAGCTTCATGAGTAACATAACAACTGAACAGCATAGTTAAAAAAAATCAACAGATATTGTTTACCTCTTCTACAAAATACTGAACTTGATCCCTCCAGAGATCCAGCGAGAATACGAGTTGATCAGCCCATGGTTCAGTTTTATCACCAAATCCCCAAAATGGTTTCTCATCTTCCGAGGCACCAGTATCATCAGCCATGGTAGTTGGATCTTCAGTCGGGAGGGATAAACCCTGCCCAAGAAAATCAATAGCCCATACTCGATAATCCCTTCCCAAATCAGTAAGCTGCTTCTCATAGTGAAATGAACCAACACCAAATCCAGGTAGAAACAACACAGCAGGAGCCTCAACGTTATCACAACCCGATTTCTCATAGTGCACTCTGAGCTTAGGTCTCCACTCACAGTGAGAATGGCTGATTCGGGCAGCAGCCTCACCATTTGATTCATCAGGCAAACCAGGAATCAAAACCTTTGATCTGGATTCTCCTCTCCTGGCTATACTAGCCAAATCCTCATTCTCACCAACCACATAACCATCAGAATTCCCATTCCGAATCACAAGTCTGGATTTCCTGATCCCAGATAATAAGAGATTTGATCGGTTTGGGACCAATCTTGTCGTGGCTAATTTACTACTCCAAGTGACCACAGAGCACTGAGGTACGAAGTTCAGTGAGATAATCTCCATAACAAAATCCTGTAACAGAACAAAACCAAAGGCATATCCTTTAAACGAATTATCCACTCAGACGTCTCTCTAAAGTAGATAGCAAATAAGAGAATCACTAAGAGACACACAAACAAAAAAAAAAAAACACAGAGACCCACATACAAAGTTGGAATTTTTCAGAAATTTGCTTCAAAAAGCTAGGTGAAACCAAATACAAAAGAGTCACGAGTTAGCTGAAATCATCTACGAACCCCTCTTAATCAAAATTGAAATCAAACAATTAGCAAGTCAACTTCCGACAACTCTTCCGTGAAATTGAAATAGACAACATCCCACCCAGAATCAGCCGATTCGTCGACAGAGAGAATTCGAAAACATAAACAACACAAGGAGAAAAAGAGTATACCTTTGAAATTCCGGAAGAGAGAAGCTTTCATCAAACGTGGTTTCTCTTCTAGGCAGGACGTTGGTTGGTTGGTTCGGTTATACAGAAATGAAACGTCTCTTTGAGAGAGAAAGAGAGAGAATTTAAAGGTGAAGAAGAAACAAGGTTTAGAATTGCCTTTGCTTGCTTGCTGGCTTGGTTTACTTCCTTCGTTCGGTGCTATACCGACAGCAACGTTTTTATTGCGTGTTTATTTTCAAGTACTCCAAATTCTAAATGATTCGTCATATTATTGATATTGAAGTGGGGTTTTTTTCTTCTTCACAATATGACATTTTTCTTTTGGATATGACATTGCTCATTTGATACCGATGTAACATATTGCAGAAAAAACATGTTGGTTATACAAAAAAAATATCAACGAATATTGTGAACTCAGCCTATGAATTGTGTAACAATGAGAAAACCTGCAAATTTCATATAAGTTTGTGTGGTTTGATCTTTGTTTAGTCACTATTTTAACAGTGTGGAAGTCTTAAATATCTGTGTAACCCATACAAAAGATTAGTAATCATAATTCGTAATCAAAGACTAACAAGTGAACTTTTTCTTTTTAAAACACACTATCTAGCCTTGGTTAACTTGGATCGTTCGGTGCATAACGACGAAAGCCTATATTTAAAAAAAACATTTATCATTTGTAAAGTTCAGCCTACTGAAGTGGGGTTATTTTTCTCACAATATGACATATATATTTTTGGATGTGAGTATATGATACTGCTAATTTGACACCGATGGAACATTGGAGAAGATACATTTTGGTTGCAAAAAAATATCAACCAATAATGATAGACAACTGACAATATTCATCTTCTTCTCCATTATCATGCATCTTCCCAAAATCATCTCAGACTCTGGATTGTGAAACCAGCGGGAAAACATATCTTTGTGTGGTTATATCTTTGTTAAGTCCCTATTTTTTGAAACATATATTCGAATTTTCTAGCTGGTATTGAATTTTAGTCTTTTTAGAGAATCAAGTAATCATATTCAAAGACTAACAAGTGAACATTTTTAATATTTAGGGTAGGATACGGTCTACGGTATAATGTGCATACTGTATTTCCAAAGAGTTAATTACTCAGGAATTACTCAATAAGGACTTTTCTCAATGGCATTTTTGTTTTTGCCATTTTATGTTAAATCTTTTAGATTTGCCACTTTTATAGACCTAAAAACACAATTTTACATATTATGTTTGAGTTTTCTTGGTTCCATTTTTTCTTAGGGTTTAGTATTTATTATGAAGTATATATTTTAAAAAAAAAAAAAAAAATTTAACAAACTTAAAAATGGCAAATCTATAAATTTTTAGTGAAAATGGCATATTTATAAAATTTGAGTGAGAAAGTGGCAAACTCCATAAGAATCCCTATTTCCAAATGATCACTTGTGAGTTGTGTGACTGATGATTTGTTCTCATTTGTTCATCTTTGCGGTATGTATCACCTCAAACCCTTTACTAACATATCATATCAATGCGTAAAAATATTAGAAACATATAGTAAAGCGTGAAGTGAACAAGTTTACGTATAGATGCATATATTGTAAACAAGTTTTTTTTTGGTTGAATACAAATTTTACATTCATTCAAAAAAAAAAAAAAAAAAAAAAAAAAAAAAAGCGTGAAGTGAACCATCAAGAGCATATATAGACAGGTACTGCATGCCTCAGTATTTCGAATGCTAAATGAATGAAAATGAAGAGTTTGGTTTTGTAACTGGAAGCCGTGCGTGCGGGGTTATTCCTTCTTCACTTAGGAATGTGAATATATAATAAGTATGCTTTATTTAGAAACTCTCTCCTCTAGTCGTCGTCATATAAAAATGCTCACTCCTCTTTATGTTTCTTATTATACGTCAGTTTAAACTTGAGGTATAGCTGAGGAAGGCAAAGAAGAAACAACCCTACAGTGGCTGTGGCTTCAGGTAATTTGTATGTAAACCGGGCGTGTAATCTGGTTTCTCTCAGACCGCTGTAACCATTTGAACAAACCTTTTTTTCTTCTTAATACGACAACCGCGTTTTACCAATAAAAACGACTTTTCCTCGCACTTTAAAAATTAAATCCACCTTTTTAATTATTTTCTTTTTTCCTCGAAGCAGCATCTGTATATCTTCAAAAACAAATTAAAAATAATCATAAAGAACCTTTAATAAGAGTAGACATAATAATTTTGAAAAAAAAAAAAAAAAAAAAAAAGTTGAAAAAGAAAGAAAAAAACAGAAAAATTCTTTGCTTTACAACAAAGGCTAATTCAGAGCTCTCCTCCACATCTTCTTCGTTCTTCTCCGCAACAAGAAACAACGAAAAAAAAACAAACGAAAATTCCCAGAAAAAAAAAATCAGATAATCTCAATTTCATCTTCATAGTTGCGAATTCCTCAGCTCTCAGCTCCGATCTTCTTACAACTCAGACTCACACAAGCTGATTCTTTCCCGATAAAGGATTATCTTTATTTCCCTCATTTCCTCCTTGGGAGCTGATCGATCGGTGAGCCGATTTCTCAATTGTTTTCAATTTCTCTTTTTTTTTATATTTTGATTCGCCAATTTGTTTGAATCTGAACATCAATCAATCAATCATCAAAGGGTTTTTGATTAGGTTTTAGGCAACAAATAAGCCGTCGAGCAAAAGGGTGTTTCTTTGATCTTTGGTTTCGATGGCGGGATTGGATAAAAACGCTGATTTCTCAGGGAAGACGAAATCGGCAACGACGTCGACGTTTTTCAACAGGTCTCTTACAATTCACGGGAGGACTGTGGCGGATTCCAACCCCAAATCCCACAATCTCAATCCTTCTCTGAACCGTACCACCTCCATTACCAAATTCTACACCCCCGTTGAATCAGTGGGAACTTCTATTAAAGGAAAAGTCAAGAACCTCTGTAGATTGTTTGAGAGTTCCAAACCCGCCAAACCAGCTCCAGCTGCTGAGATTCCTCTCAAGCAGAAATCTGGCAAATCTCTTCTACCTGAATCACGCATTTCCCCGTTTTCCACTTTAAACAACTCCGTTATCCGCCTTCCCGGGACAGAGGATAGGATTGTGGTGTATTTTACTAGCTTGAGAGGGATTAGGAGGACTTACGAGGATTGCTATGCTGTGAGGATGATATTTAGAGGGTTTCGTGTTTGGATTGATGAGCGTGATGTCTCCATGGATATAGCTTATAGGAAAGAGTTGCAGATTGCAATGGGAGAGAAGAGTGTGTCTTTGCCTCAAGTTTTCATCATGGGCAAGTATGTTGGTGGTGCTGATGTCATCAAGAGCTTGTTCGAGATTGGCGAGCTTGCCAAGATTCTTAAAGAGTTCCCCATGAGACAACCCGGCTTTGTTTGCCATTGTTGCGGGGACATTAGATTTGTTCCCTGTTCCAATTGTAGTGGGAGTAAGAAACTGTTTGATGAGGATGAAGATAGACTCAAGAGATGTCCCGACTGCAATGAGAATGGATTGATACGTTGTCCAGATTGTTCATCTTGAGAAGATATCACCAGCCTTAAAAAAAACCAAAAAAAGAAAGAAAGAAAGAGGTATTTATTTCTCTTTTGATATTTCCATTGTTGTGTAGAACAGTGAATGATGCTAGGAGTATCCGAAAATCTCTTTTGGATCAGCAGCATTTCACTTTGGGGTTTCAAGGTCTGCGATCAACGGTGATTGGGAATGCTGATGATCGCGGATTTTTTAGTTATGTATGTTTGCTACTACTAAGGACTAATGTAATTGTGTAGTCAAAATGTCGAAACTGGTAGTAAGCATTTTGACGTTCGTGTGTCAATGTTGTGAAAGACAACTTTGTTGGTATGCTATGTATTTGATTTGTAAATACTTAGTGTGTTTTATGGGTATTGTGTTGATTACGACAGTAACTGGGTTCGACTCACTTGATCGTCTTTTTATGACAAACTTGGTGAGAAGTATTCTACCAACATAACCTTCTCTCGATCGTCTCAACTCAAACCCAAATTATTGGTTGACACACTCTTTTTAGAAACTCGTTTCGAGAACATGCAATACTGACAATAATATTCAAAACTCGTTTATTTTTTAGAAAAATGGTACTGGACAATTCGATGCAAAATTTAAGTGAACTAACGTATAATCTCCATTGTCAGCTAAAGTTAAACCACACCCCTAAAAGAGAAACTAGTCAGACAAGTAAGAATCAATCCAAGAACTTTGCCCGAGAACTCTTTGAAAATGTCAGAGTATGTTTTCCTATTCGGTCCAACTGTCCATGGCTAAAATTTGAAATCTGCACACATTCCACTCTTGAAAAGCCCAAATGTATTATTGACGAGACCCATCTGAAAACTCAGCATATAAAAAAGCCCAAATTGTTAATCATCTCATCATCATCATCACCACGTCATTATGAATGTTTATGATTTGTGATGGTGATCATGATGATGAATTTGGTATCAAGATGGTCTAATGATGAGTTGATCATGTACACAACGATCAGAAAAATAATTTAAAAGAAAAAAGAAGTGATTGCGAGTGTGCAGTTTTGCACACAAAAAAAAAAACACTGTCAATCGATTAGTGCTTATATCATAGACAGTTCTCCAAATATATAATTATAATAGTTTCATTGAAATATACTATGAGCTGAAAAATTTATAATCATCAGTTTCTTTACCAACTTGTTTTTTATTTCATTGTGTTTCTCTTTCGGCACGAGATCGAGGAAGTCCTTTTTACGTTTGAATTTTGCAACTTTCCTTCTTTTAGTCACAGTTGACGGTTTATAAACCTACTAGAGAGATTGTTGTTCACGCAACGTTTTCACTTTTAATAAAAAAAAGAAGAGGTGGATGGTTTTGGGGTTACTTGAACAGTTGAACAACTAACTATACATACATATGGGTATCCTTCTTCACTCACGCATCCACCTCCCACCATTTAATAATAAACAACTAACTATACATACATATTGTCAAATTAATTAGGTTGGTTTAGTTGTTTTTTGAAGACAAGTGATCGACTAGCCTTATATATAACGTACCGTGTTTTGTGTTTTCTTTCGGTGGGCATATATATATTGTTTGATAGTTTTGGCACAAACCACATATAGCTTCTGCATAAGTGTTACTTTAATGATTATCGGGAGAAAGCATGTCAGGCATGATTGAACGTACAATGTGGATTTCTGTGCAAGTGAGCTTAATGCGTAGTCAAATTATTATGTATGCATGCTATTGAACGAGAACGATGGGAGAAAATTATGATGGATTTTTAAACAAGGAAATGCACATGTTTCATATATATACTTTCATGGAGGCGACTATGTACTAGTAGGCTAGTAGCACCATTTATATATGTCGGTTTGGTGTAAACAGCATGTACTAATTTGCACAAGGTACCTTTGATACAAATGGCAAACCTAATATTTATTTGCACAAAAAAATACCCTAATACGTACTAATTATTGTAAAAGATCTTATTTAAGAGATGATTTGCATAAAATCATAATTTAAAGAAGTATATATATATATATATTTCTTAATAATTCAGAAGTTTATAATATACCCTAATATTAATTGAACAAATTTCTTGTAATATCTTAACACCTAAAGTTACTCTAGCTAGATATCATATTTAATGAAAACAATGATACTATTTACGACTCCTTCTGTTCTATAGATGATTTTTTAGGTTTTTGTTTTTTTTCTAAAATATAATATTTTTTCGTAAATCTATGTAAAATTAAATACTGTTTTTTTTTTTTTTATCAATTTATCTTATGCGGATTGTTTTTTCATTGGTTTAAAATGTTTAAGTAAACATTAATTGATGATCTTTTTTAGAAATAAACAAAAATTAAATATTTTTAATCTATGTGTATTTGCTCAAAATATCATACTCCATCCGTTTTAGTTTAAGTGATGTTTTACCCAAAACATTTGTTTCATTTTAAGTGATGTTTTTAACTTTCTATGCAAAAATTAAATGTATTTAATACTTTTTGACCAATAATATTTTACATTTATTTTTTGATTGGTTGAATTTATTTTAATTATTTTTTTGGTATAAATAAAAGAAATTACATATATATTTTTTGAATATGTGTATAACAATTTTAACCATCACTTAAAATAAAATAGATAGAGTATATCCTAGAATAGAGTGAGTATATTTGTATATTATAGTGACTTGTCTTATAATAAGTGGGCACGAATTAAGACCAAGTTGACATGTCGATCGAGTAAGCTTTTATTACAACCACCGCAACGTATATATACGGCCTTCAAGCATACGCAACCGTCTCGGAAAGCCAGTTTTGCAAATATGGAAACGAAAACGTAGATGTTAGGGTATTGTGTAAGATACTGATGAGATTCTTGTGAGCTAATTTACGGAATATACTATTATATATAAAATTTCCGAAAATGTTGCCAGGATTTGAGAAGAGAGAAACCATGTGATGATGATGATGATGAAACTACGTGATTGCTTTTCTTCAACTTGGTTATGACAGAGAAAACACACAAAAAAAAAAAAAATAAAGAAGAAAAATAAAGCTGTACATCCAGACGAAATTACTCGCAAATGTGTAAAGAGACCAGATCTTAGATCATCAATAATGGTAGTCTTTTAGCGCTAAAATTTCCTTTAAAGAGTACCTTATATAATGTACTTTCTTAAGGAAATTTTAACCATAAGAAGCTACCATTGAGGATGCTCTTATATACTCGTGCCTACCTCTTCCGCTTGAGCATAAATACATGAAAAATGCTACAGTTTCACCGCTAATTCTTAATATTCTTACGCCATTTTTTTGTTTTCTCTTGGAAGTATATATGCACCATCTCCTACACAACCGTTGTCGATATACTAAAACATCGGGATCAAACAAACATCTCGTGTTTTGAATTGTTGTTTTTTTTCTTCCACCTCATGTTTTGAATACATATTAACATATATATAGTTGGATAGTGCTTAGTGCATATATATACACGAGTAGATTATAATATATTTTGACATACTATGTATCATAGATATGACATATTGACATATAAATATGTTATGGTCGTCACATCAACGAATAAATCAATTGTTCGTCAACAATGTATATAATACGCATAACATTATTAAACTTATAACTTGAAATTAAAGAACAAGTTGGTGTGTGTGTATATATATATATAGTATTATAGTGTATATATATATATATATATATAAATATGAGATCTGATCATCGACATTGAAACACAAACACATGGATCTCTTAATACAGAACGACATGGATATAAATCCAATATTATCGGTGTATTAAAAAAATAAGACGATGTATCTATTCTGAGTGTGACAATCAACCATGTGAAATCTTGTCTTACCTTTTTTTTTTGGTTTGTTATATATCTATTGATTTGTTATTTAAGTATTATATCTTGCGATAAGCTTATGCCAACTGACTTTCAAATTAAAATGGAATATTCTCCATTTGCTGTAGGTGGTTGGATCTCATTTCCATTAAAATAAAAATTAAATGCAACAAAAGCTTAGTTTATTTATACACTATTCTATATAATCCCTTTTACCCAGTGATTTAACATTTCTTACGACAAGGAATATGCTCTTTTCCGGCCAAACTAAGAATATGCTTAATGTTTATCAAAATAACAACTATGAAATATATGCATGGATGATTATCGTAAATGTATACCATACGACATTCAGTAGATTTATAGTATTCAATATCATTATCACGTCTATACATGTTAAAAGACGTGGAGATGTTTTAGCTTTTAAGATTCTCTATATTTTAGTGGTGCAATATATATAATTAATTTCTTCCTCGTATATATTTATATACATATATGATCATATACTGTAGTCTGTAGTAGTATGATAGTATCGTTTAAAGGAGAGGAAACTTGACTAAAAATGAACTGGGTGAATAATATTTGTCGTTATTGAACTTTTAAAAATAAATAAATTAGGTGTGTTTGTTTGGCTTTCTGGTCAATAATCAAAATATTGAATGAAATAATATCAAACTTGTATTTGATAGGGTTACCTATGAATAAACTTACCAACGTTGATGATATATGACCCCAAAAAAAAAAGTAAAGGAAAAAAAAAAAGTCATAAATATAGAGAGCTTTGAACAATCTTTATGTGGAAGAATTTAATAGTTTCGAAACATATAGTAACCTTAACTTAAATCATCTCTAACCTTAATTAAAGACTTGACTTAATAATAAAGGAGATCCCCACTCGGACAATATCCACGTCAGCAAGGGAAGTACACGTGGACCAATGATGTAAAAACGTGCAGGGAACAGTAATAAAAGGAAAGGATCCACGCGGTATCACAAATTCACAAATCACAATCACAGACTCAATAATAATTAATATTCCCCTCAAAAATGGAATAATAATTTAATTTATCCAAATCGCGAAATTAATAAAACTATCTCTCTCTCTCTCTGTCTTTTATTTTATTTTGTTTTTGTTTCTGACAATGACAAAGAAAAAAATAGGTTTCGTGTAGTGAGAGGATCCTCCACGTGTCGTGAGGAAAACAAAAAGTAAGTTAAAGTTAATAAGAAGAGTGACTGGGTAAAGCCGGTAAAACCAATATCCATGAACTGCCTCATCCGGTTGTGTGGTTACTTTTGGAAGTATATTTTAATTTTAATTTTTTTCTGGAAAAGGAATAAAAATGGGGTGGAGAGAGAGAGGAGGGGGGAGGGGGGTTTAAGCTTTTCTTTGTGAGGGTCAGTTGTGGTTTCTTTTCAAAGGGTTTTATGTCTTCTTCTTCTTCTTCTTCCTTATTTCTATTCCAGAAGAGAGAGAGATTTAAGAGAAAGTGAAGGACGATCGCCAAATCATCTCATTCTTAAACCTTTAGGATTTTTGTAAAATAAAAAAGAAAAAGAAGAAAAATTAATTCATTTTGTATAGAGCATTTACGCAAAATTGTCTTTAGTCAGATTCGATTAATTTTTTCTTTATTTTTACTGGGTAAAGTAGCGTAAATTTTTTTATCAGTTTGCGTGATCTATAATTAACTTCGGGTGCGCTAGATTGTGATCCAGACATCGTTCTTCTTGGGTGATTCGGTGAGTTTTTTTATTTTTTTGTCATCCACAATTCATGATCTCAATTTAATTCTGTTTTCGTCTTCTCGATCTGTATTTGGTGAGCAATTTATTGAACATGTTGTCGGATTTGGAATAAGCCGGGGTTGTCTGAATTTGGCTGTCGAGATCTGATCAATAAGGAAGATGGTGTTTATTGTTTATTCCTACGTAAATTGTTTAAACATTTTGAGTTTTGGCTACTCTCTCTCTCTTCTTCTTCTTCTTCTTCTTCTTATTCTGTTGTTGATACGTTGCTTCTTTCGTTTCATTTATTTTTTGCATGTTTTTTTTTTTTAATAAAAACAAAATATGATTAAGAGTTTGGTTTTTCATTGTTGATCTGTATATGTGTTAGTTTTATCTTGGGTCCTGTTTTTTTTTGTGTCTGACCTCGGATCTGTAGATCATCATAATTAATATGTTTTACTGAATCGTTTTTTTTTCTAAGGTTGTTTTGTTATGCATAATTGAGAGATGGTGGTCAAGAGGAAGTTAAGTGTTAGCTCTAATGTCTTTGATTTCTCAAGTATTCCCAAGGCTCCTCGTTCCAGCAGGGTAATCATTATTGTGCTTCATCTTTGGATTTATTTTTCTTCTCTGTGTTTTTTTTTTTCTCTCTAAATTCGTCTCTGATGAATTGTGTTTTCTGTTTTAGAGGAAGGTCACAAGTAAGTTAGCTGTTGATGATGATGGCAGTAAGATCTGTGCGATTGATTTGCTAGCTTCTCTTGCTGGCAAGTTGCTTGAAGAAAGCGAAAGTTCTTCAACGTCTACCTATGCATCTGAACGGGATAATCGTCATCATTTGGGTGGAGGGATTAAGCAGGAACTTGAACATGTCTATAATAAGCCTTGTAAATCTGAGTTCTCTGATCATGGAAACCCCGCCTCTAAGTCGAGTAGCGAAAATACCAGTGCAATGTGTTTGCAACTTTCTTCTTTGGAATATGATGGCATTTCGGAGCAAGCACCGGTTTCTGATTGTAAGAAGGCTTGTGGTTTGAAGTCCCTCGTAGGCTCTGAGGAGACGGGTGTTGTTAATGAGGATGCCGGGTTTCAACAAGGAGAGGCAACCGGTGGTTTCACTGCTGATGCTTTTAGCTTGAAGGATCCGAGTCATTTACATTCGCAGTCTCCAGAATCGGTCTTTCTGGATGGCGATGTCAAGTTGGCACCATGCACAGATCGTGTCCCTGATGATTCTTTTGAAGGATATGTGAATCACTCTAAGTTAGTTTGCAGAGATAATGACGAAAACTATTGTAAGTATTACAAATTTAGTGACAAATGTAAGTCATATAGGCCTCCCTCTCGGGTTGGAAATCGAAGAGTAAAGAAGTCGGTAATGACAAAATACGGGAGAGGACTCTCTAAGTTGAAGTGTTCTGAAGACACTAGAACAGGTGAGTATCATATTCTGCTGTGTTTTACTCTTTGGCGCATCCATTTTTTGTTGCTGCTCTGCCCTTACTCTGCTTGTGGATATCTGTCTAGATGGTCATTTGAAGGCTCTGTACCGCAAGAGAAAACCATCCTATGGTCACAACCCATGGAAGCGTGAGACTGTTCACAGGAAAAGAAGACTGTCTGACAAAGGTTTGGTCGTAAATTATGATGGAGGACTCAGCAGTGAAAGTGTTTCTAATTCACCTCAGAAGGGAGAATCAGGTACGTGTATCAGTCTATATTCAGATGCTTCCTTATCAGGCTGATATGATTTTTATTTCATGATATTTTGGCTTCTTTGTTAAATGCAGAAGATGGTGTTCTCTCTACCGAAATCGGTCTTCATTTAAAGGACTCCCCTGGTACTTGATCAATTAATAATTCATAGAACTTGACTGAGACTTGATATGTGGGTCTCATGTTATATCATTGTTCGCAGTGAAGTTCAGCATCAAGTCGCTTAGGATTCCAGAGCTTGTTATTGAAGTTCCAGAGACAGCGACTGTAGGCTTACTGAAGGTGCGTGATTAATTTGTCTTTTTCCTGTCGGTCTCAGTAGATGTTTTGGTTCTGGTGTGGACGATGATGAATGGTTATTTCATAACATCATGATACTTAACACTTTTGGTTGCAGAGGACGGTGAAGGAGGCTGTTACTGCTTTACTCGGTGGTGGAATACGTATTGGGGTGTTGGTCCAAGGGAAGAAGGTTAGAGATGACAACAACACTCTATCACAGACTGGTCTTTCGTGTAGAGAAAATCTAGGCAACCTTGGCTTCACCTTGGAGCCTGGTCCCGAAATACTGCCTGTACCTCTTTGCTCTGAAACCCCTGTTGTTTCTATGCCAACTGATTCTACCAATTTTTCAGAAAGGTACCAACAAACTTGTTCTTATATGTTTTTCTTTGCTGCAAATTTATGCTTTTGTGCATGGACAAATTTGGAGCTCTAGAGATCCTAATGAAAATCATTCGCTCTTGCCAGGCCCGCAGCTTCTCCCGTGTTGGATGCTATAATTCCTGTCCCTCTCCAAGATGCAGATCTCCTGATTAATTCGGGAAAAAGTATGGAGAATAACCTTGAAATAGTCCCATATCAGAGTGACATATCAGCTGATGAACAACGTTCACCAGATTCAAGAGCGTTGGTTCCAGTTTCAGCCTTGGAGTCGGGGGCTCTAGCAATTGTTCCAGTTAACGAGAAACCTAAGCGTACAGAGCTTTCACAGCGAAGAACCAGGAGACCATTCTCTGTTACAGAGGTAGAAGCTCTAGTAGAAGCAGTTGAAGAAGTTGGGACTGGAAGGTAAAAAAGACTGATTCGGTTGATGGATTGATGGTCAATATAAATAACTTGGTTGTTGGGGGTTCAAACTAATGATCAATAATTATCTTGCAGATGGCGTGATGTGAAAGTGCGTTCTTTCGAGGATGCAAGTTACCGAACCTACGTGGACTTGAAGGTAAGATACATAGCAGAAACTGGATAAACGCACGCACGCACGTCTGAATCTTATCCACTGAAAACTGAAAGCTAAATGGTTCCAATAACTGTGTGATGATATCTTTTGCAGGACAAATGGAAAACGTTGGTTCATACAGCAAGTATCTCACCACAGCAACGAAGAGGAGAACCAGTGCCTCAAGAACTGCTAGACAGAGTCTTAGCAGCACATAGGCATTGGTCACAGCACCAAATGAAACAGAACGGGAAACATCAGGTGGATACAACAATGGTGGTTCGATCAGGTTCCTCCATGTAAAGAAGGAGAAAGATAATGACAATAACTTTCACTTGACGACGAAGGAGCCAACGTGGGCAACTGTACAAAGGCAAGCAACAAAAGTACAGAAGAATGCTTATTAATTTCAGACAAGAAGACTATTATTTTTAGCTAAAACAAGACGTTCCTTAAGACTTTTGGTTACTTTTATGGTACATCTGTTCATTCCAAATTTCTAATTGATTTGATTTTGTAATATGGTGGTATTGGTTGGTGTCCATGGAAAAAAGGGGACATGTAATTTTAGACATTCTTTTAATTTTATTGGTTCATCATTCAATCTATGCCTGTGTAAACTTCGAGTACACTCGTTACAGAGTTGGATATAGATAGGTAGTAATGGTTTCAGACCATTTGAATAACTGTTTCTTTCTGTTATTTGCACGTCATAAAAGCGACTATATATATGTAGATCTTGGGTCCTTGACGTGACATTTTAGATAATAAATATATATCTATCTATCTATCTATACTTCTATATATGTAGCGGTCTTCTATGGCATATGTTGGAAGAAGGTTCATCAATCATCATGCAGGCTTTGTTTGTAGAGTCCATTGAATAAGAGTAATAGATAGCATTTAAAAAGTTTTTTTTTAATGTCAGTCAACTCATCACGTTTTATGTTTAACACTATCGAGGCGAGGGGTATATTCGTTGATGGATGGGATATATAAAAGCCAAGAAGCGATCGAGAAGGTCAAATTGTTCATCATGTATTTCCAAATTGACTAGATCAATGTTATCATCTTGAGCCTAGCTAATTAGCTCGAGTTGACCATGCCCTTCACATTCTCGCAGCCAATACATTTTGATTCTAAGTTTATATCGTGCATATAATCGAAATTCACATACAAACTCAGTCGTCTATCTCATGGCGAATCCAGAAACTATTTTGATTCGAGACACATGCACGATTCCTCCTACATTTTACGTATATCTTTATCATTAACATTAACCTTTTGACTATACATTTACGAATAGGTCATGCTTATTTTTCATTATTAAAATTGTTCTCTTTTTTATATAATCTTAAAATAAATATCTTATAGCAAAGCACACTACTGTTTTATATGGTGAGATTTACGTTTTCTCGTTATATCATTTTATTAATTGTTAGGTACTCTTGTTCATATAATTTTTAATGTCGAAAATTGAGTCAACCTTTTCTTTATTTACGTATATATTGAATTATTTTCTCGGTTTTATATATGTTTGCTTTTTTTAAGAAATCTTTTCAAGTATATATGTTCATAATTACCAAATTTAGCGAAAATTTATCATAAATTACTTTCGTCGATAGTTAAATTACATTTACACGCCGACAAAATTTACGAAAAACTGATGGTATATATCTTCGAGCCATGATTTTTATACAGTATAAGCTGTTTCATGAGTAAGATATATGTATTTTTTTTTGTCAACTACTGAAAATACTCTTATATATAAGAAAGAAAAATTCTCAAACTTGAACAAGATAATGTTGATAGTACTCATTCAAGCAACTTTCTTATCAAATTCCGTGTGGAACGAAAGTATGCAACAATCTCGTCGTCTCTACCAACACCACCATTAAAAGAGAGTATGCAACGTCGTCTCTCGTCTCCACCATATAAGTAACTAACACACAAAAGTTACAATTTTATTCCTCCCTAAGTAACCAAAGGTGTAAAAACTCTCTTGATCGAATGTAACTCGTTTCTCTCTGCTGGTTCAAACACTTTGGTTCCTCATCACACTCTCTAGGTGTAAAATTATTTCCTGTCTTTCTTTCTCCCCGCAACTATTTTGTCTTAGCCCATAAACCACAAATTTTAATTCTGAATACACAGTACAATATTTTTAACCAAATAAAACTCAACTTTTGCAAATTAACACCAACAGAAATGAAAAGGTTTGTCGATCAATCTTATATAATTAAGCTCATATTTTAGAAATAACAATTCAAGAAAGATAGTTCCATTGATAACAATAAAAATAAAAAGATAGCTAGATAGACTTATTCAAGGATAATTAATTAGGATGGTAATTGGCCATTTATATAGTATGACCATAAATATTCATCATTGCACACATCTCCATAGATCGACGAAGTAGATTACTTGTCGTAGATGACGAGTGCACGAGTCTTCTCAGTATCTGCGTACATTTGAGCCACTTCTCCCTTAGTGTTGTACATTTGCCCCAGTGGATCGTAAAAGTACTGCACATTGAAAATGTAAATATATGAAATATTAATTATGGGAAAAAAGACCAGAGTGAGCGGCGGGGGCATATTAATGAAAGAAAAAACCACTATTTGCATATACAATGCATCTGATCTTCTTTGACCCAACCAAGATTATCCTATATATATAATCATTCGATACACTCTTTGCAAAAACCCAATACTTTTACAGTGACAAATAGAAAGCCTAAAATCTACATGACGGGCGACAACAATTGATGAATATATAGGATGATATATGAAGAAAAGAAGAATCAAGAGCAATGACGTACCCGGTAGAGTCGATGGCTAGGCTTGACTCGCTCCTCACAAATCCAACCAGGGTGAAGCCACTTGTATCGAGGACAGGTATGATCAAAGACGGAACAGGTATTACCTGGGATCGTGTTCAATCGTTTCTTACGATTGACAACCATTAAAGTCTCTCTGCCCTCTCTCGACAAATTGGCTACGCTGCTCTCGAAATCGATCCCCTTGGGCGCTTTCCTCTGCCGTGGACGCTTCTCTCGTTTCCCAGACACCTGACTTGGTTCACCAGAAATAGCCTTACCTGGTCCACCATAAATAACCATACTTCGCTCACCAGAAACCTTACTTGGTTCACCAGAAATAGCCTTACCTGCAGGTTCACCATAAATAACCATACTTCGCTCACCAGAAACCTTACTTGGTTCACCAGAAATAGCCTTACCTGCAGGTTCACCATAAATAACCATACTTAGCTCACCAGAAACCTTACTTGGTTCACCGGCATCCATATCTTATCCTCTCTCTTGTTCTCTCTTTTTAATCTCGACTCTACGAAGAGGTTTCACGATTCTTTGTGTTTATAAAGGAAATTATACCACCCTAAAGGTATACATACATATATATATATTGTATATTGGTCAAAGTAATGTGTTGTCTCTATCTTTCGTCGTTTTGCACCCTTTATAGAAAGATATCTATTTGCCCTAAAGACATATAGAAACATATATTACAAAGATTCCACCGTGTCCACGTTACATTGGTACATATGTTTTTTTTTTCTTTTTCTTTTTCTTGTAACGTCTGTATTTTTATTAGATGACAGTTTGTACATGATTACAATTTATGAACATAACAATAAAAAATTAAAAAGCTTGACTGAAATCAAAATAAAATAATGTATTTGCTTTTCTTTTTTCCGATATTTTGCACTTTATTTGGAAAAATATCTTTGAGAAATTTATACAAGGTCTACAACACATTTAATGTATTTATTTCCAGAAAACAAACTTCTGTATTTTACTTTTAATACCAACTATACAATTAATTTCATCAATTTAAAACTTTTTATTAACTAATATTTTCTTCTTTTATATGATTTTCTTTTTGCTCTTGGGAAAAGTTTACCTTTTCTGATATTCCTAGTACAACTTTTTCAAATTGAGAAAAATGATTACATTGCTGTAAAAGTGTAAAACTATATTTAGTCAAAAGACAAACTTAACCAGCTATAAAGAATTTTTAAGTTCTAACGAATTTCACCTTAAAACATTTTAATTTACTATATAGGATTACATGAGTATCCACGTATGTTACTTGTTTCTTAATGTATGATCATTTTCATTTAAGAACTAAACTCTCTAAATTTAAATTATATTAGCTTATCTTAGCTAGTCTTGTATCATTGAATATCTCTTGACAATTGACATCGAGGTTCAATTGTCAGTGTCCAAAATTTATTTTTAAAATGATATATGTTTTGAACAAAAACAAAATACGACCAAAAAAATATATATATAGTGGTTTATTATTAAGATAAAATATTATTACGATGATTTACAAATATAAACATCATATGACTAATCACAATACAATTACAAAATCAGTCTATATACTATAATGTAAGGGCAAAAATATGAATTATTACATTGGTTAGATGTAAAAAAAAAAAAAAATTATTACATTGGTTAATGAAATTAGCTCGAGTTTTCTCTGTACAGATGGAGATGTCATGAACAACTCGAATTCAGATAGCTCTGACATCGACCTCATGGATGGTGTGTTGTCCGATATAGATAATGATGGTAGCCCATTAAGGCAAACATATGACTATAGTAGTCCTGGAGAAGATGATAGCGTAATGGGTACAGATGTGGAAGAAACAGTTATCGGATACAGTAACTCAGTCAATCAACATGAAGAGCTGTTGCCTCAATCGCCAGAAAAAAAAAAGAAGCAACGATCTGCGAAACCAAGAGTTAACAAGAGGGCTACGAATAGTTCTATACCAAAGGCAAAACGAGTTAGATCAAGGAAAAAAATCACCAAACCACAAAAACCAGGTTTCACATATCAAATACAAACGGATTTATTTGTTTTAATTCTATTGAGTGGCATAATAGTTTTTTATTTGTTCTAACACGTTCTTTTATATGTCACAGCGTACTTAGATCATGGTGATGCAACGTTTCCGTGTAGTTTTTGTGGTGCGTTGATGTGGTACGATGAACGTTTAACAAAAGAAGAAAGACAAAGAACCCAACCTTCAGTTTATGTTGTGGACTAGGGACGGTCAAGATACCGTTACTCAAAGAACCACCAGAGCTGATCAAAAAATTACAAACCGGTAATGATGCCATCAGCAGAAACTACCGTCAAAACCAGAGGATTTACAACATGGTCTTTGCAATGACATCTCTCGGTGGAAAAGTGGATCGATCTGTTCCAAAAGGTACTGGACCTAATATGTTTCGTTTACAAGGTGGTAATTATCATTTGATAGGCAGTCTACAACCAGAAGAAGGAGATTACGCAAAATACAGTCAGCTCTATATTGTAGATACAGAAACAGAAGTTGATAACAGAGCAACTGTGATAGGGTATGGCTGTGTTAGAATTATTAACGATAAAATGTGAGTTAACTATTAGTAGACGATTTTGATATTGCCATATATTTCTCACTTTTGCTATTTACTTCCATTTCAGCAAGGGCGAAGAACCAAATAAAAAACGTGGGAAGCAAAATTTGAAAAAAGATGTTATAGAGGCGATCATCAATATGCTCAACTCTGTAAACCCATATGTTAAAAACTTCAGGTTAGCTAGAGAAAGGTATCAAACTCATCAGGAGGAAAGATTTCATATGAGGATTGTTTCAGATCGTGTTGGAGTAGATGGAAGAACTTACTCTATGCCATCAGCATCAGAAGTTGCTGCATTAATTCCAGGGGATTTCAAGAAGGGAATGCCAACACGCGACATTATTATTGAAGACAAGAAAACAGGTGATCTGAAGAGAATAAATGAAACCCACATTTCTTATCTGGCTTTGCAATATCCTCTGATTTTTTGTTATGGGGAAGATGGGTGGAGGCCTGGTATAGAGAAATGTATGGCAGGAACAAGCAGTGGTGAAAAGAAAAAGACTATTAGTATGCAGCAATGGTTTGCATTCCGATTACAAGAAAGAGAAAATGAGTCTCATACACTCCTTCATGCGAAAAGATTGTTCCAGCAGTTTCTTTGTGATGCCTACACAACTATTGAGTCAAGTAGGTTGTCTTATATCAAGTTTAAGCAGTCAAAATTGAGGTGCGAGAATTTTGCTTCAATCAAAGAAGCTGCTGGTTCTGGAAACACTAATCTGAGTGAGCAAGGGAATCTACTTATTCCAGCATCGTTCACTGGAGGACCACGTTACATGGTTCAGAGCTACTATGATGCTATGGCCATATGTAAACTATATGGTTTCCCAGATTTGTTCATCACTTTCACATGTAACCCTAAGTGGCCAGAGATTACCAGGTATGTGCAATCACGTGGGTTAACAGCTGATGACCGACCAGATATTGTTGCAAGAATATTCAAAATCAAGCTCGACTCTCTAATGACAGATCTAACAGTCAAACATCTACTTGGTAAAACAGTTGCAGGTACTATTCGTCTCTTTCAAATTTGATATGTATACCCCGATCGTTTTTTTAAAATATCGAATTTTCCAACAACAATTTTTAAAACTAATATATCTCAATGCATATTTTTAAACCGTCACTTATTTGTGCTGAGGTAATTCAATAAATTAATCATGTTTTTTTTTTTTTTAAATCCTCAGCTATGTATACAGTCGAATTCCAAAAGAGAGGACTTCCACATGCACACATCCTGTTGTTCATGGATTCTAATAGCAAATTGCCAACTGCTGATGACATAGACAAGATGATATCAGCTGAGATCCCAGATAAAGATGAGTTTCCTGAACTTTACCAAGTCATAAGTGAGTCTATGATCCATGGACCTTGTGGTGCAGCAAACCCAAAGTCTCCATGTATGGTTAACAGAAGGTGTTCGAAAAATTATCCTAAACAGTACCAAGAGTTCACCAAAGTTGGAGCTGATGGTTATCCAATTTATAGGAGACGTAGTGAGCAAGAAAATTATGTTGAGAAGAGTGGAATCAAGTGTGACAATAGGTATGTTGTACCATACAATCCGCTGTTGTCCGTTCGCTACCATGCCCATATCAATGTCGAATGGTGTAACCAAAACGGATCAATTAAATACTTATTTAAGTATATCAACAAAGGGCCCGACCGTGTCGCTGTAGTGCTTGAGCCAGTCCAGAACGATGTTACCCCAAATACAAACCCAACTACCAATATCCCTACTTCAGATACATCAGAGAAAAAGAAGAACGAGATAAAGGATTGGTTTGATTGCAGGTTATTACTTCGCTCTCAATGTTGTGTATATATTATATTTTCATTCTTACAATTTCATGGCGTATATAGCTAATCATAGTCACGCTAATCACCGTAGGTTCGTCTCGTCCTCAGAGGCTGTATGGAGAATCTTTACGTTTCCAATTCAGTATAGATCAACTGCTGTGCAGAAACTATCTTTCCATGATGAAGGAAATCAACCAGCCTATTATAATGAAAACGACGACATTGAAGAGGTTCTGGAACGAGTAGCTAATCAAGATTCTATGTTCATGGCATGGCTAACTTTGAATAGGAATAATGCTCGTGGAAAAGGTGGAAAACGTGCAAGAGATTGTTTATATGCAGAGATCCCAGCTTATTTCACATGGGATGGTAAGAGAAAGCAGTGGAAGAAACGAAGCAGGGGCTACTCTTTAGGTCGTATTCATTATGTCCCAAGGAAGTTAGAAGAGGAGTATTTTCTAAGAGTACTACTTAACATCGTCAAGAGACCAAAATGTTTTGATGATATCAAAAGATACGACGGTGTTGTCTACAAGACATATAAAGAAGCATGTTTTGCCCGTGGTATCATATCCGATGATCAGTTTTGGATTGATAGTCTTATTGATGCAAGTAGATGGTGTTTTGCTCCTTATCTGCGTAAATTTTTTTCAATGCTTATCCTATCTGACTCACTTGATAGACCAGAACATGTTTGGGAAGAATCTTGGAAGTTGTTGTCTGAAGATATTGAACGCCAAAAGAGAGAAGAGTATAACAATCCAGGTATTTAACTTTAAGTAAAATCGTAAATCTTATGGACGTGATGTGTAAAATAATTTGTATGCAATGTTTTTTTAATAAATGTCTTAACATGAATGCAGATCTAATTCTAAGTGAAGCTCAGATAAGAAACTACACTCTCCAAGAAATTGAGAAGATTATGTTGTTTAACGGAGGATCTCTTAAAAGTATTGGAGACTTCCCCCAACCATCTAGAGAAGACCTTGATAACTGTAACCGTTTGATTGCTGATGAACTCCGGTATAATCAAGATGACTTGAAAGAAAAGCATGATGGTTGGCTTGAGATGCTTACTGCAGAACAAAGGAACATTTACAATGAGATCACTTCGGCTGTTTTAGAGGATAAGGGTGGAGTGTTCTTTGTTTATGGTTTTGGAGGAACAGGTAAAACCTTTATGTGGAAGACCCTATCAGCTGCCATTAGATATAGGGGAATGATAGTACTTAACGTGGCCTCCAGTGGGATTGCCTCTTTGTTGCTAGAAGGTGGTAGGACAGCGCATTCTAGATTTGCTATACCTCTGGTAGTTGACGATTATTCATTATGTAAGATCAAGCCTAACTCTGATCTGGCAAATCTTATTAAGGAAGCATCACTCATTATCTGGGACGAAGCACCAATGATGAGCAAATTTTGTTTCGAGTCTTTAGATCGCAGTTTTGCAGATATCATGGGAAACGCTTGCAACAAGGTTTTCGCTGGTAAAGTTGTTGTGTTTGGAGGCGATTTTAGACAAATTCTTCCAGTGATTAATGGTGCAGGGCGAGCAGAGATAATATTAGCAGCTCTTAATTCTTCTTATATTTGGGATCATTGTAAAGTGTTGAAGCTGACAAAGAATATGCGTCTTCTACAAAATGACATAAGTCAGAGCGAAGCTAAAGAAATCCAAGATTTTTCAGACTGGTTATTAGATGTGGGTGATGGTAAGATCAATGAACCAAACGATGGTGAAGCTTTGATAGATATTCCAGGAGAGTTGTTGATTACAGAAGCAGTTAATCCAATATAAGCAATCTGTACGGAAATATATGGTGATCTATCTGGATTTGAAAAGAATGCCGACGCTAAGTTCTATCAGAAAAGGGCTATACTAGCTCCAACAAATGATGACGTCAACATCATAAACCAGTTTATGTTAGAGAAATTAGATTGTAAGTTTTGGTTCACATGTCAGATTAGTTATATGATTGAAAAAATAACAACTAATAAGTTATACGTAACAACCTTTTGCAGGTGAGGTGAAGGAGTATTTAAGTGCTGATAGCATTGATCCAACAGATTCTGATTCACTAAGTAATCCAGTGGTAACACCAGATTTTCTTAACAGCATCAAGCTATCAGGTTTGCCTCACCATTGCTTACGACTGAAAATTGGAGCTCCTGTTATGTTGCTTAGAAATATTGATCCTAAAGGAGGCCTATGCAATGGGACTAGACTTCAAATAACACAAATGGCTAACCATGTTGTAGAAGCCAAAGTTATAACAGGTGACAGGGCTGGGGATATTGTCTTGATACCATAGGTGGTCGTCACACCATCAGACACCAAGCTCCCATTCAAGATGAGACGAAGACAATTTCCACTAACTGTTGCTTTCGCTATGACTATAAATAAAAGCCAGGGCCAATCTCTAGAGCATGTCGGTATATACTTGCCTAAGCCAGTATTTTCACATGGTCAGTTGTATGTTGCTTTGTCTAGAGTTACGTCAAAGAAAGGCTTGAAGATCTTAATTGTCAACAAAGAAGGAAAGGTCGACACACAAACAACCAATGTTGTTTACAAAGAGGTTTTCCAGAACCTAGGGAACTAGCGGTTAGTTACTTGACTATTTCTTCAATTCTTTGTTTAATATATGGCATATTGTCATCTTTTTACGTAGCTACTATATCAATCATTTATACAGTTTCATTATTTTGTAGGGGAAATTTATGGGTTTACGGATATGAACAGATTATGTGTGTTTTGCGTTTCTGGAGAATTGGCCGGTTTGAAGGTTTTTAAATACTGTGATTTTATAATTACTTACTCAAACATAATTTTGGTACTTAATCCTACATAATCATATATAAACGTGGATCTTGGTTACAATATAGGTGAAGACTGTGTCATTTCACAGTATGGATGTTCAAGAGTATTTTTGGACAAAGCGTATCCAGAAATGAACATGGACACATTAATGTAAGTCTTCTTATACTTTTTTATGAGAGTAATTATCTTTTATATTATTTAATTAAAAATGATCAAGAAACTGAATATTATGTGCCGTTTATCGTGTTCGACCAGTGGAGATCCACACTTTGATACAGATGATGAAGACAATGAAGAGAGGGATGACTAGGGTGTGTTGTCAAGGAAATTGGAATAATCATATGTTATTTGCAGTTGTTTTTTTTAATTTCTAATTTCGTTATGAAACAGTGTTAGTATTCATTTCATTTAGTGATTTTCATGGCATTTAGGTGTGTTCTGCAATACGGTTTATATGCACAAGTAATAATGTTTGACTGTCAAGACGCACTTGTCGGTACTAATGGTATGTCAATTACAAAGAAACTAGACCATGTGACTATACTAGAATCCCGGTTGACCACATACCTCTGATTGCTTGAAATTAGCCTTTGTAACGCCAACCAATGATTCCAGAACCTCAAATTATATTCCTGCCTAGAAGGAAAGTCAAAGATAATTTTTGTTAAAGCTACAATTACGGGGCTACCTCATCGTATATTTGTTAATGTGAAGATTTGATTGTTGAGCTGTCAATTTAGTGATACAAATAATATCGGGTGAGACTTAGAGAAACGTTATGGTAATTATACAATCCATACATATTGGCTTGGTATTTTACAACCTTATTTAGACCTACTAATGATTCCAAGAATGTTTAAATTAAATGTTCACAAATCAAGCACTATTTATTAGCATATCGTTTCAATCAATGTTAGCAATCCTAATAACCCTACTAACCATTACCAGTATAAAGAGCAAGAGATTGTGAGAGAGTATTAAACGACGTACACTACTCTCTGCAAATAGAAAAGGTTACTGCTTATTTATATAAAAGGTTATGGGAGAAGTTGAAAACATGCACCTCTGCCCGAAAAGAGAACTACCTTCTTGGTTTGATCTAAACATACCCACTCATGGAGGAAGAGAACTTACTTTCAATGAAGCTAGAGGTTCCTATACTTGGTGCTCAACAGAAAAGGTCTGGAAATCCAACCTGAAAACATTGAAGAAAGAGAGGGTGTCCTATGAAGCAAGGGTTTCTGATAGAAGTACAAGTTTGAAACTACTCTTCAAGTTTCTGAGTGTGCAAAATAATTACCACCTTAGTGAAGGACAAAGTGACATCAACCAATGTTTCGTAGAAGGAAACTAATTGGTGAAAAATTTGTTACGCTTCAACAATTGTTTGATTTTACAATCATATGTTACAGAAAATTATAATAAAGCTTCTTTTTATGTCATCCTTTTCTTATAATCGACAGTTGTCATATGGTCAAGTATTCAGTAGTTCTTCAATGTATAATAAGATGGATTTGGGTAAGACGGAGTAATATACAGTACTCACGGAAGAAAATTTGTCTGGTGATTACACAAAAAGACATAAAAAAACCGAATAAAGTAAGCCGAAGATGTTTCACTAAGTAGATGCATCACATGTGAGTCATAAACAATATGTACATTTTACACTAACATATTTGACAAAAATTATGTTGGAGGAGTAATAGTTAGACGATTTCCATCATAACGACACGGTGGAAGTAATATCTTGTCTGTTTAACATTAAGCTAATTATACGTTACCTTCTATACTTGGATAGTTAGTCCAGTCGAATGTTGAGGAAAGGGATCAAAGGGAGCAATGAATATAAAAGTTAACTATCATTGTTAGACGTAGAAATAGAACTACAGTGGAAGATGTTGCGAATTAAAAATGGCAGACGCCATGGCTTAACAAAATGGAAAGAAAACATTAAAGAATCTTTATTTTTTTGCTATTTTCGAATATTGTATATGCGTTGAAATGTTAAATTAACAATTTAAATAGTTTGCATAATATTCACCCGGGAATTTGACAATTATTAAAGAACCCAAGTATAGTCGAATTGGACTACAAGTCATATAATATAGGCCCATTATCTAGAAGATATAATGGGATCCGTCGGCCCTCTAACAAATAGTTTGTTACCCGAGGGTAATTGCTATATTCGGAAACAAACATTTGTATAGTTAGATATAATTAGCGGAATATTCCTAATTTCCGCACGGAAATGAAACTGCTGCTAACATATAATAAACAACACAAAAACTGCATTGATAACTCCTTACACACTATATGTTAAGCTGAAAGTACATATATAGGTATACGACAACATTGTAGTTTTGAACGAATAAAACACATAAAATGCTGGCCCCGTGGTGTACCACGGGGTAAAATCTAGTTTATTTTTAAAATGATATATGTTTTGAACAAAAACAAAATACGACCAAAAAAATATATATATAGTGGTTTATTATTAAGATAAAATATTATTACGATGATTTACAAATATAAACATCATATGACTAATCACAATACAATTACAAAATCAGTCTATATACTATAATGTAAGGGCAAAAATATGAATTATTACATTGGTTAGATGTAAAAAAAAAAAAAAATTATTACATTGGTTAATGAAATTAGCTCGAGTTTTCTCTGTGGTATTTATTTTTACTTGTTTAAAAAATTTGAGGACATTTTAGGGTTTATAAGGTTTTGTGAAAAAAAAAAAAAAAAGGGGGAAGAATACGGTTGTCGTCGTCGCCGGAGGAGATGAGTGGGGCAGGAGCGCCGGACTTTTTCTACAGAGAAGCTCAACGTCTTGGCTATGTTGCTCGCTCTGCGTTCAAGGTGAAATTTACATTCATACCCTCCTCTGCTTCTATTTCTTCTTATATCGAGACTCATCTCTCTCTCTCTCTCTCTCTCCTTGCAACTACAGCTTTTACAGATTCAAAAACAGTATAAGCTCATCAAACCAGGCTCCTCTGTTCTTGACCTAGGCTGCGCACCTGGTGCTTGGCTTCAGGTCTTTTTTTGATGTTACATCAATTCCAAATTTCAAATTCTGGGAAAAGAGCTTTATTTAAACTTGAATTTGTCTCTAATAATGCGGTGTAGGTTGCCTGCCAAAGCTTAGGTCCACTTAAAAATGGTGGAAATGTTGTTGGTATGGATATTAAGGTCAGAGGAACCTCCACTTGATTGTAATCTCTTTTTTTCTTTTTAAGCTGTAAACTGTACTGTGTGAATCAATGCACTTCTTTTCCCCAGAGCAGAAGGTGAAGGTTCCTCCACAGTGTGATTCGCGAGTCCAAACCATTTCCGCCGATGTTCTTAACTTTCCCAGACAAAAGATTAGAGAGTTATCTCCTCAGGTGATTTAATCATACTCTTGTGATTATTTACAGCTTAACAGCTTTTTCATGATTTGAAATGAGTTCTTAAACTTTCTCTGTAATATCTGAAAGTTAGGGTCTTTCTTGGTCGGTCACTCTTTGTTGTAACCTGTTCCCTGACCATTGTTTTAACAAGTTGTGGATTGCTCTGTGATGCAGCAAATGGGATTTTCTGTCGTTCTTTCAGACATGTGTCCTTCAGTATCTGGGATTACCACTAGAGATGCAGCTCTGTCTGCTGAATTGGGAATGCGAGCACTTAATTTAGCTGTTGGTCAAGCTGCCATCTCCCAGTCACTTGATGACGATAATGATGGGGGAGATAAAGTTTCGAGCAACGAAACTAGTCGTGGTGTACTTAGGCATGGAGGTCATCTTGTGATCAAGCTTCTAGAAAGCGAGGATGCTCAAGGTACGGGAAACAACTGTGTAAACTAGAGTCAAACTATTTAGTATATACAATTGGAAAAATGCTTCTTCTTCACTACAACACTGTTTCTTTTTGTTTAGATTTTGCTCGAATCTGCAAGCCCATCTTTAACAAGGCATCTTGGTTGAGGCCAAAAGCTACACGATCATCATCTAGAGAAATTTATTTGATTTGCCAGGGATTTCGATAATGAAAGCCTTCATTCCATACAATGAAACTCGAGTGGTAACTCTTTTCTAAATAGATGTGTATTCAGTGTTTTTCAGGGATTATGTAGTTTACAGAGGAAAATAACAAATGAAATAAAATAGAATGGAGATTTTGCATGTTACGTTTCAGTTTCTCTATTTGTCTCTCTGTGCAGTAGTATATGTCTCGCATACACAATGAAAAAAATCAAATTAAAAGTTGACAATGATACTACTGTTATCGGATCTGTGACCTTCCTAATGACCAGAGTCCTGTGTCCTTCACGGGTGTCTGTAAACAGAAAAACTAGTCATCAGCTGAGCAGATGCAAGCTAAAGATCGAATTTCAAAACTCAAGAAAGATTTCTAACCTGCATTTTCACTGAAGGGAAGACGTTCCAAAAGCGCAAGGTCTCATCTCCTGCTCCGGTCACTATAGTCTGGCCATCGGGTGATGTAGCCAAGTAAAGTACTCTCATACTGTGCCCAGTAAGGGTTGCAACCTACACAATACAATTCGCTGGTGCGTCAGGTATATAGTAGAAGCAAGAAAGATCAAGAAATAAGCTTTCAAGTTTGAAAAATAAAACTATGTACCTTTGCCATGGATGGATACTTCCAGAGCATGATTTGGTTTTGAGAGTATCCATGAGTGCTCACTATCTCGTTCACGTTCTTGCTCCACGCCAGATTGCAAACCTGGCTTCCAGTGTCGATGCTGTTTAACTGATGTCCGTTTGTCGTGTTCCAGAATCTAATGCATCTGTCTGCGGTTCCACCTCCCGAAGCAAGGAGACCGCTCTGATGAGGAGACCATGTAATTGCCTTAACCGCCGCTGTATGCTCCGTCAGCTTCAGAATAGGTTGCTGTGAATGATTGTTCCATACCAATAACTGTTCCAAGAAAAAGAAAAAGTGGTACCCACCAATGTTACTTAATATTACAAGCTTCAAGGAAGTTCAACGGCTCAACTCTTAGCTATAGGGTGCATTGTATTTGTATATAGCCTAGGACTGAAAATTTTAGCAGATTAGAGCTGTTGGAAATTGGTTAGAAAGCAGCTCACTGAAAGTCTCTTATTTACATAGATTGTAGAGCACTGAATAACTTATGTTCGAGATTACCTGATTATCGTTGCCTCCAGACGCGAGCTCTCTATCATCATGAGACCATTTCAAGCCGCAGACCTCAGATTTGTGCCCCACGAGTTTGCTGACATAATCCTTGGGGACTCGGATATCATGTTGAAGGATATTTCTGTCTCTGCTCCCTGATGATAAGATCCTCGAGTTCCATGCCAAGACACCAGTTCTCGTTTGATGGCCTCCCATAGTTCGCACTCTTTTGCCCTGCGTTCCGTCCCAAACCTTCCAGCAAAGGCTAAGCATCAGTGAAAGGCATACAAACAAAAGTTTCAACAGCCATAGATTGGAAAGTAACAACACACCTGAACCTGACCATGACTTGTACCAACAGATATATAAGAACCTTCCCGTGTCCATTGAACCGAGCACACGCTGTCATTAGGCCCCAGGTCACATAGCTTTTTCACCTGACCAATAAATTCACTGTTAACCACAACCGAAGACACTCTGAAAATCTTAAAAACAAGTGAAGCATAAGAGAACACTCACTTTGCTATTGGAAGCAGTCCAAAGATAGACACAAGTACCAAGCCCAACCGCAAGAACATTCTGTGAGCTCCAGTCCACAACATTCAAGTAGAAGTCATCTTGTAAGGAAGGAGCATCCAAAACCTGAGACCAAACATAAAAACAAAACAATCTTTCACTTCTACCTTCTGTAACCAAATCACATAAAGAGATTGGATGTAAAACAGTATAATATACCTTATGAGGTGTTTTAGGAACCTTGCGAGGCGGTTTGGGAGGAGGAGACGAGTCACTGGAGAAGCCATTATCATTTCCGAGAACGGAAGGAGAAAATGGCGAGTTGGGACTTGAATTGGAACGATCCGTTTTGAATCTCAACATATTGGTACATGGACTCATCGGAGAAGAAGCAGATCCTTGACCAGCACCTGCAGGAGACAAACAAGGAGAAGCGAAATCAGATCCGAAAAGCTCAGATTTTAAAAGTCTGGAGTAGGCTTCGTTCCCTCCCTCTTTAACCGGAGTAGTAGGTTCCTTATCCTGCAGATCGAAAGCGTGGAGCCTCGAAGAAGATCTGCACGGTATGAATCTGTCGCTGCAAGTCGATTTAGAGGGAGATGATAAACTAGAGATCCCACGAAATGAGCTCGAAAACGTCTCCAAGCGCAGCGAAGTCTGGTTCATCCCGGCGGGTAGATTCAGACCGGTTTTGGTGCTCTGTGGGGATGCCATTTCTGGGTTTCTCTCTTTTCAAAAATCACTGGGAGTGTTTTTGTTTTTTATTTTGGGGTTTGGTCGGAGAGTCAAAAAAACTAACAAACCGAAGGAGAAGGTCTTATTGCAAATGAGAGCTTTATGATCTCTCTTCTTCTTTTGTTTCCTCCTCCTTCTGCAAAAAGAGTAATGTTCTCCAACGGTCAGAATTTTGGTGGTGGGAGACTGGGAGTGAATATATAAATACAATAGGAGCGGGATCTGATTTTGTACGGACATTTATGAAACCATGTATTATCGATTCGTGGTTCAATGCTCCAACGGTCAAATCTTGGTCAAAGGTGGAGAATGAGATGGGTTCAGAATACAAATATTAGTATCTAGTAGTTTGAACTTAAAACATCAAAGCCGTCTTAGCTCAGTGGTAGAGCGCGTGGCTTTTAACCACGTGGCCGTGGGTTCGATCCCCACAGACGGCGATTAAATGAATTTTTTATTAGTTTTTAAGACCACGCAAACAGTCTCCCGGTTTTGGATTTGGGTCTGTTTTTATGGGTTTAAAAATCCAACCAAACCAGTTTCGGTGCACTTCTTCTTGCACGGCCTTCCCTTTACTTTAGAAGTAATCAATTCCATATTTTTCTTAAGGGGTTTTTAGGGTTTCTCGTCACTCACTCACCGATACTCTCTCTCTCTCTTGAAAACATGACTGCCGAACAGAAAGAGGAGCTCGCCGCCAAATTGGAAGAGCAGAAGATCGATGTATTCTCCTTTCTTTCTCTATCTCTGTTTTTGTTTGGTTTATTGTTATCTCATAGTCTGAGAAATGAATGATTGAGCTGGATTTGGATTTATTGATTTCTTCATACCTAGATCTCCGTGACTGGTTTTAGATATTCTAATCAATGGAGCTACTGATTCTTAGATCTGAATCTTCTTTTCTCGAACTTCACGAACATATATCGATTCTCCCATTGCTTAAGCCGATGAATTATCTAATTGTTTTTGAGCTGTTTTAAAAAAAAAAATTGTTACTTACTGTTTCTTTTGATTTCGATTTGTAGCTTGATAAGCCTGAAGTTGAGGATGATGATGACAATGATGAGGATGATTCCGATGACGATGACGAGGCCGAGGGTAAGTTATCTTCTTCTTCTTCTTCTTACCTTTTGCGCGACATTCTATAAATTTATTTGCGAAAATGCTAGATATTCCAAGTTTTGATGTGATTAGCTCCATTAAGTGTTTACATCGTGGGCAGCTAAGTTGAATTTACTTGCATGTAGAAGAACATAGATATCTCTTTGGTTAGAATTTGAAACCTTGTTTGTAATGCGACTATCTGTCGAACATATATCACCATGGATTTGTAAGAATTATTTACTGGATACCTATGTTAGATAGATGCTGCTGACTGGTGAAAGTTTGATACTGTTTTTTGTTAAATATACCATGAGGAAGTGGGTGTCTTTCTTATAAGCTCGAGCTATATGATTTGTTGACCAGAACTTGATGGAGAGGCGGGTGCCCGGTCAAAGCAAAGCAGAAGCGAGAAAAAGAGTCGTAAAGCGATGCTGAAGCTTGGGATGAAACCCATCACTGGTGTTAGCCGTGTCACCGTCAAAAAGAGCAAGAATGTTTGTGGTCTTCGGATATTCTAATCTTTGTTTGTGCTAGTCATTACGGTCTCCTTCTGTTCCAATTTTATTGACAAAATGCGGATTTGAATTTGCAGATCATGTTTGTGATATCAAAACCTGATGTGTTCAAGAGTCCAGCATCGGATACATATGTGATCTTTGGTGAGGCGAAGATAGAGGACTTAAGCTCGCAGCTTCAGAGTCAGGCCGCTGAGCAGTTCAAGACTCCCAACCTCAGCAACGTGGTTTCACAAGGAGAAACATCTGGTGCAGCACCAGTTGCTGCTCAGGACGATGATGAAGAGGTGGACGAGGAGGGTGTGGAGCCAAAGGACATCGAGCTTGTGATGACCCAAGCAGGAGTGTCTAAGCCAATGGCAGTAAAAGCTCTCAAGGCCGCTGATGGAGATATTGTCACTGCCATCATGGAGCTTACCACCTAAATCAGAAACCTTTTCTACTGTGATGTGGTTTTCGTGTTTTTTTTCCCTTTCTTTCAAAGTGATTTAGCATGTTGTATCATTATACACCAGAAGTTTGGACTCATTTTCATATTTTAGTGTTTGAGTGGATTTTAAAGAGTGAGTGGATTTTTGAGTTATTCGTCATGTTAAGAGAAATGCCAGTGTTTCCTTTTTGTGGCATTAGTCAAAGCTTTCAGTGATTGGAACTTTTGCAAAACCGTGCAGGAATAGTTAGATTGGTTACGGGGGTTTGAACTTTGAAGGTTTGGAATTGCAGATGGAGAAACATAGTTCCAAACCAAATGTATTTCAACAGATATCATAAAAGTAATGACAAAGAGAAGGTAAGCCAGAACATTATCAGTTCAAATTCGTATATGCACTGGTGTATATGCCTATCAGTATGTAGACTATAACTCAATAAGAATCGAATATACTGTAACTAACAATCAGCAAAAAAAATTGTAGCTACATATGAAAGATCTTTCCAGTGTTCACTTCAGGAGTGCAACCTAGCTGCAATCGAAGCAACCTGAGCATCCATCTGTGTGGCCCTAACTTTCTCAGCCGTGGCTCGGTGAAAGAACTGCTCCCTCGACAACAATCTCACATTCCTCAAATACTGATCAAAGGGTAACACACCATCTCGAAACGATCTGTCCATCGAATAAACAACATCTTCAATGGCTAAATCCAATGCAGTGCACTCTAACATCTGTTTGGACAGTGTCTCAGTGCATTCAAATGCATCATCCACATCGAAATCTACTAGCAAGTTGTCAGCTTTCCCTTGATTCTCCCTAATCCAAGAATCAGTAAAGTCAGTATTCATAGCAATAACCTGTAATTGCTGCTCCAAGGTTTCTTTCTCATTCAACATATCCTTCAAACCATTGTTGATCTCCTCTTCTCTTCTCTGAAGTCCGGATTGTAAACTCAGTAACCCTTCAGTTTCCACTTCTCTAGCACTCCTCACCAATACAAGATCACAATGAACCATCTCCACCAACTTGTCAATCGCATTCTTCTTATAAACATCCGCCGCATAATCCGTCTGATGAGGAGTAAAAGGCCGTGAGTATCCAGATCCGGCCGAATGAGAAGGTTGCGGTTGCGGAGGAGGACGGCGCTGAGAGTAAAGCGGGGGATCACGGGAGAAGGCGGCACTGAGATGAGCAGCGAGATCAACGAGATTGGAGCTAGGGTAAACCCAATTATGGAGACAAGGAAGAGCGACGAGACCAGAAGGAGAGACATTGGAGTGAGGTCGTTTGATGATCATATCACGCGAAGGGTTGACATAGACGCAAGGAGGAGAGTGAGGGTAAGATTCGAGTAGCCAGATCACGACTGGGATGTTGTAGCTTACGCCTTGGAAAGGCATCGGGATTGTGCCGTCGGCTTGGAGGAGGGTCACGGATCGGCCATCGTTGTGTGTAAACGTCGCCGTTTTGGGGTCGAGGGAAGTGTAGGAAGAGACCAAATTAAGGAGATGTTGTCGGATGAACGACTTGGTGGCCTCGGCGTATGGGAGAGCGGAGGGGCCACGCTGGGTAAGTGCGGATGAGAGGAATTGGTGGATCTCTTGCATCTTCGCCGGGGGAGCCATGCCTAGTCAATTTCCGATTACTTGGAAACGCTGACCGATCACGACCATTTAAATCCTAATAGAGACAGACTTACACCAGATCAAGTAGTTAGGAATAGTGCAATACACGAAAACGCAACTACCTCTAATTTAATAATATAGATCTAAACTCTTTGAAAAAACAAAAAAAATCCATCTAGTTCTTTATTGTAATCAAATTAGTCAAACAATCTTAATTTCAAATTCCAATATTTTACCAAAACTTTGACCAATTGTGATTATGTATAATTTCGTTTTCAAACTCTCCATATAGAACAAATCATAGATTAATCATTATGAAATGCAGATGTAATATATAAAAATAATATATATTTAATCTATGTTTTAGTATATTACTATTTCTTTCCTTAATTTGTGATATCAGCAATATAAGAAAACAGGTTACGCAACTAAAATGGACCGCTACTGATGCGGCTTAGTGCAGCATTTCTTGAACTGTCTATCTAATCCGTGAACCCTATGTTCTTGATAGTCATGACTAACTGACCATGAGTTTGAAGTTTTAACAAGGAACTCATGAATTCATATTCTCGGTTCCAATTTGGTCACGTCAATGCACGGTTGTAACATTTTAAGCTGTTCTAGATCATGTTTATACTTGCAAGAAGAATAAACATAAGAAAGTTGATAATTTTGCCATACACTGGAAAAATAATCTAGTTAAAGTCTGAAAAAACACTAAATGTCGCGGTCTCTGCGGCACTCAGGAGGAGGCACGGGGAATCGGACGCGGTCAGTACAATAGTTGTAGATGGTGTATCTCGTACGAACCCATTTGAGACGCTTGTACTGATTAGCGTCCAAGTCCTGGAACTCTTTCTGATCCCACCAACGTTTTCCCTGAGTCTCGCAGAACTTAGCATTCACTGAAGCCTCACACCCATCAACGTGGAAGCCTCTGTAGGAAGCAACAAAAGGAGCATTTGCCCAGTTGGTCTTCTCTAACCCTCCCCTTGTGGCCCAGTCATCTGCGTTCCAAAGACTCGAGTATATCTTCATCGGCTGGTTGAATGGAAACTTCACCCCAATGTCTTTGCTATTCTTGAACACTCGTATCGGCACATCATCCACAAAGAACCTGTTTTTTGTATTACATATGTATATCAATACACTTAGCTTTGACATTTTGAGTAGAAATAACATTTGAGGAATGCTGACTTACACAATCTGATACATGTTCCAAAGAACTGAATAGGAATGGTAGTCCTTGGAAGGGTCAAACCAGAGGTTGATCCGTTGCTCTCGGTTGCCTATGCCTCCTGTGAACACGTTTGTCTGCAGAATGTAAGGCTGGCCGGTTCTGTTTCCTAGAAACTCAAAGTCTATCTCATCATGTTCTGAGTTCTGGGATGACAACTGCAGGAACAAAAGGCAAGATACAACTTTTAGATGACACTAAGAGAGATGTCCCAAGTGTTTTCAAAAATGAATTCACTCACATAGAAGGCGGTCACAGTTCCAGCAGAGTCCCCAGCAACCATCTTTATGTGCATACTGAAGTGGCCAAACAAGTAGGAACCTTTGGACTGAAAGCCAGTGCCTTTGCACATTGAACAAGAACAATCAGAAGAACGGTTTAGATGAAAATTTGTTTAAAAAGAAATATACAAGGAAGAGAAACATACCAGTGTACTTATCGAGGACAAGATGCACTTCAGAACCACCGTTTAGGTACTTAATGTGATCAAAAGCCCAAGTGGGGAAATAGTTCCTTCCGAAAGGAACATTAATGGACTTTTTAGGAGGTACACCAAATGTTACAGTGGCCATAACCAGAAAGGTGAGGCAAAGAGTAAACGAAAGACGACCCATCCTCACTTTTATCACACAAAACAAACATTGCACGGACCATACTATTTATAGCCATCAAAACCACCTTGCTCTAATGCTCTTTTACCACAATATCTGATAATTTACTATTATTATAATGACTGCAGATTGGGTTTCTTTCAATGTTGCAGGCAGTAACTTAAGGGAAGCAACAGAATGTGATTAGCCCAAGAGGTGTTGCAGAGGCACATGGACCTCATCCCCATGTTATCGTTAATTAATGCATCTTTGGATGCTTAACGTTTAAGATCTGTGGGCAGAACATCAATAAAGAAACACTATTTGAGTCCCAGATGCCATCAGATTTGCTGGGAAGCTTTCACAGTGTCCCTGTAGAATCCAAACCGACCTGATTGATTGGATAAAACCAGCAGAGTAATACAGAACTAGGAGAAAGCGACTTTGGGAAAAAACAAACCAAAGGAAAAGGTTCAAGTTTCAAGAGGAGCTACAACAGAGACATCATCACATGACTTGAAGCATGTGCGATTCACCATATGGACAATATAACACAGAGATCAATACTGTTCAAAGCACATTATCGAGAGCGAGACTATTATAAACCAGAATATTCAGAGAAGCCGGCTATACTTATCAATCTCAACGCTGCCATTGAAAAGAAGTGATCAATGATACCATCACAAATCCAGCTGAGCTGATTCGCAAGCAGAAGCACCGGCGAATGGGAACTATGAAACGGCGTCGTACACAGGGAACCGGAGAACGGGGACCCTGAATTAAATTGTTTCTATATAATTGATTGGTAAATGGGCCTTAACAGGCTTTAATAAACGTTAAATGCAAGGCTGCAATTTGAGATACAAGCCCGCTTTTAATTTAATTGCAATAATTAACAATGAAAACATTAAATAAATAATGGTCGCTTTGCCAAGTGCTCTCGGATAGTGTGGTGCTCAAACTAATCACAGAAACAAAACAACATTTAACATTATTTAACAATAACAAGAAGAAAGAAGAAGAAAACTGTGTGTTTATTTCTGTAATGAGCCTTGAACGAAGAGGCTAGGGGGGACTTTGTTAGATACAGGTTGAAGGAAAAACAAATAAACATGTCCCGTTTTCACATATCTCTACGTAAACAAAATCTATAAGGATCACTGCATCGTCCTTGGCCCCCAAAAAAAAAAAACAATGAGGGAGTGCATATCATTAAGATTGTAATGGTGAGGAAGCGTCTGGGCTTTCGAGAGACAGTTGCTTCTGCAACCACATCTGTCGGTGGAAACGAGTAATGAAAAGGTCAGCAACTCTGTCGATCTCATCTTCCAACCGAAACTCTTCTCCCTTGTCCTCCTTGGAATGCTTCACCATGTCTATTACTGAACCCTCTGCCTCAAACAGCGAGTGCCTCAAGTCTGGATACTTTCCTTCCTCCTCCTCTTCCTCTTCTTCTTCTTCCTCCTCGGCATATTGATATTCTACATGAGGAGAGACAGGAGTGCTAGACATGGCGTTAACGTTGTGGCTATACACCACCACCATGTTTTGATCATGATCCTTGTGATGATTATCATGATCTATCTTTTTCGAGGTTGGGTTGGTCTTAAGCTTGTGAGACAAAGAGCTCACCACCATGTGTCTGTTGTGGAGGAGCGAGAATATAACGAGACGTGTCTTGAAGGCTCGTGTCTTCCTCTTAAGCTCCTTCGTCTTATCCTTTGCTAAACCAGTCAACATGTTTATTATCTGCTTCACGAATTCCGCCGCCTTCTTCATTTTTTTATATATATGTTTGCTTGCCTTCTTCTCTGGATCCTTTAATCTGTTTTGTGTGTATGGAGAATGGAAAATATGAGAGATGAAGGAAGGCCTACTTATATACACAATCAAACAATTATGATGGTCTTGGCTAAGGAAGTTCATAAAGCTGAGGAAGACACATGGCTACGTTTGACTGGTTTAGATGATCACAATTTTCACAATCTCTACGCACGGGACCACTCCTCTTTTGCCACTATCCAAACCTTGTTCGCAAAGTTTGTTTTTTTCCAAAATCTTATTTAAAATCATTACAATTATATTTTTAAAAACAGTGACGATGATTACAACTTTTGAATTTGAACAAGGTAGATTATACGTTAAGGAAACAATGTGAAAATGTAAAAACGTGACAAAATATTCCTCCGTTGTTATTATTTGGGTTTCGATATAACTAATATGGTTAGTCAACCAATGCAGCTCGTCTCAAAAAGTATAGAGAAGAACCTCTTACATTAAGATACGTTTCCGTTGATTGAGGCCAAATCGCTTTACGTTTCTCTTTAGTTTCTCCTTTTGTTGCCTTTTGCTATTATCATATTCTCGTTGTCTCCTTTTCTTTTCCATTTGTATAATTATGTTTGATGAAGAAATATCTTAAAACCAAAGACTCAGTTCTTCAGACATGTCTCGATATCTTTTGGCCAAACACGAACAAACAACAATTTGCGTTAACGTGCTTATTATTATACTAATCATAGTCTGTCTCGGTGCTTCTACTTCTAGACGTTATAAAAAGTAGATTTACGTGACTTAAGGAAATATTATAGTAAGACAACTTAGCCAAGTGTTGTACCTTTCTGCAGTAAAGGAGTGAAAACATAAATTATTCGCACCACCTCAAGCTACTTTTTTTTTAGGGGTTTCAAGCTCTCATTTGATTGTCTTATGACTTTATCCTTTTATCCTTTTTCGCAATAACTTAACCACTAAGGTTTCACCATTCCCCTTCCCACGCGCAATCCTCTAGATTTCATGCTATCAACACATACAAAACACAGTACATGACATAAATGGGCCTGTGCTTTTAGGTCCATAACAACAAGACCCGATGATCAAGACAGCTTTCATTTCGTTATGCTTCCAAGTGCTCACTGTTTAACTTAGTTTAGTTTAGTTGAGTTGAATCATACCTCATTACCTCCTGTTGGCGTTAAACATGTATCTCTTCTGCCTCTATTCTAGTAACTTACAAAAATACCAAAGTCTTCATTCTAACATCTTAAATTGCAATCAAAATGTGTCAACTAATTCCACATTTACTTTAGTTTTTTCATTAAACTAAACTCAGACAGAATGTGTTGAAAGACAAAGAAGATGATATGAATAAAGATAACAACAAGAAGTGGCTCCGAAATGATAGAGGATATGACAACAACACAAGCCTTACGCTTAAGGCAGTCCCATCTCAAGGAAGGCATATGGAAAACATACCTTAGGTTCCCCTTCTTTGCCTTATTTGACATGAGATCGCCAAGCTATAAGGCTCGTGTTGTTGTCAAATGCTTTATGTTTTCGGTGCAATCTATGAGTTTTATCATAGTCATCTTCTTCTTTCACCACAGGACAGGCTAAGTTTGCCTTTTAACCAAAAACCAAATACATGTTACATGATGGAAACAAAATTTCCCAAACGCAAAAAAAAACGGAACATACCATCCACAATGCTATTCTCAATCAAGAAAGAATATACCAGAATCCATAACTATGTTGGGCAAGTCATCATCTATACGAGGATTTTGAACACTAATATTGAACAAAGATAATTGGATAAAGACTTGTCAAAGCAGCAACAAGTTTCAAAAGAGTGAGAGCTTACAAAAAAAAAAAAAGGCAAAGCAAGAGGATTGATAAGGTTTCAAGCCTGAGTGCCAGTCAAAGACTTCATCTGAATATGATTAGAATCAGCAGAATTGGTTGGCAAAGCTTCATAAGAACCAGTTCTTCTCACTCCAGCCGCCATCACCACCATCGTGTAAGTCACAAAGATGAGGACAACCACCAGCACAACGTGTACAGTGAACATAAGGTCCAAAACTGAGACAGCCCTTAGCTTAGAGTCCTGAACATCACACTGAGTTGATCCTTCCACACCGCTTTGAACATCGAGAAGACGGTGACATCCCTCAGGAATAAACCCATCAACGTAGAGAGAGAGTCCGGTCTGAAGCTGCCAGAGACCTTGGAGGCAAATGGCAGCAGCCAGGGCAGCGTCAGCGATAAAGAGTCTTGAACGGCAAGCGAGAAGCAAGCAGAGGAGGGAGCATAAGGCGGAGATACGAGCTGAGAGTGAATCACAGTGAGCTTGAAGATCAGATGTTTGGATCGAAGCCGACGAAGATGCGGCGGAGTAATGAAGGAAGAATCCTACGGAGGCGAGTGCGAAGAGGAGATCGGAAGGGAGAGGGGTTAAAGAGGTCGAATCGGAGAGGAGATAATAAACGGCGATGATGAGGAAGAGGAAGAACACGGCGGCGGAATTGAGAGATGAGAACCGGTGAACTGGGGTGCTTCCTTTGACGAGAGGATCGGAGTAGAACGAGATTAGGGTTTCGTGAAGGAAAGCTACGAAAAGGGAGAGTACGAGGATGAACAATGGTAGATTTTGGAGACGGTGGTGGTTGTGGTTGTTTCCGGTGACGGAGGAGAGCCGGGGAAATGGGTAGAAGGGTTTCGCGGCATAGGATTGAGGAGATTTGAGGAGATGGAAGAAAGTACAGATGAGATGATACAGTCCTAGGGTTAGCAAAGATGCTGAAGCGAAGAGCTTGTACATCATTTCTCCCATTGTTTGATTCTGGTCGGATTTGTAAGAGTCAGAAACCTTTCTCCGATCTGCTTAAGAGAGGGATTTAGAAGATGAACTGGTCAACTGCTCCGTAGAGTTGACCGGTTACATTTGTTTAAACCAGCTGATTGTTTCGGTTATTAAGAAATATAGCACCATTTTAACCGGTTTAATTTTGGAGTTTCCCGGTAGTTGGTCGTTTTGAATTTTTCGGTTAAGGTCATGATGTTGCACACTCGTTAAAAATGGAATGTGTTGATGACGGACCAATAATCATAATTCAACTCATAGTCTCATAAAGCATTCAAACAAAGAATAAGCAGCCTTCATTAAACAAGCAAACAAAACTGCTATAGTATAGACAATGAGAGTTTCAGCTTGTTTATAGAAAATATGACAAAACAGTGGCTGCAATAGCTAATGTTGTCATCCAATAGGACTGAGAGAATGTGTTGCCAGTGGAGGAACTTCGGTCTGAGTTTGTAGAACCTCGAGATCCTGGAAGAACACAAAAGATTCATGAGAAAACATCTTTTGATTGAAAAGATAGTAAATAACGGAGACTTTTGAGTTTGAGTGTGTACGAGTTAAGCAGGCAATGGGATTGACGTGTTCTCCACATCGAGCAGGCAACATTTGAGCATCATTGACATCGATGCCAGCTCGCTCGGCCTGAGAAACTCCCTCGGTTACTAATCATCCGGCACAAGCACTCTGGATTGTTCCTTATCACTGATTTGAGAGGGTTACAACAATCTTGAGGCACTTCTTTGGTCCCATTAAGGTAACTGAGGCATGGAGCAAGCTGGTTCAGGCAAGAAACGCTCTGCCCACTTGTTTCTATCCCCAAGTTGGCTACAACTAGAACAAGTGCAGCTGCAATGGCGTAGAACAACTTCATCTCCATTATCACCTTAATTAAAATTTACCCTTCTTGGTGTTGTTCCTGAACCACTTATATGTACTTGTTTATTATTATAAATGTTTGGTGACCAGCTTTGAGATAGGTAGACATGGCTCACCAGTCAAACCTACTATTATCTTTTGACCATCCAAACTTGGTAAGATACAAGTTTATCCATCATCAAAATATTTAAATATGAAACATTACATAAGCAAACACCAAAAAGCACAGATGTAGATTATATCTCACCATATAAGTTTTCTAGTTCTTCTACCATAAGAAAACGTACACAGGTTATTAAAATTTAGGCTAAATAAAGTAGGTCATGGCAAACCATAGCCCATCAGATATCTTCAGGAATGGGCCTATGAGGTAGAAGGCCCATAGGGGATATGTGAAGGTAAACACGAGTAATTTCGTGTTTTCATTAATCAAGAATTCAAGATACAAAGGGGTAACTTGTTATTGAAAAAAAAACTAATGAGAAACAGTCACTTTGATCATAGACAGAGATCAAGGACGACGAAATATAGATATAAATTCGAAAGAAAGAAGAAAGGTACAAATGAGGAAGGTATTATAATATGGATGAGAAAGAATTAGGAGCCGAAGTGGTTGAAACCTTGTGGCAAAGAGTCAGAAACTGGAGGCATTCTGCTGAACATTGGACTGTGAACGTACTCAGCCGAGTAGTCATCTCCGCTCCAGGTCCACTGTGGTTGGTTGTAACACGAATTCGACAAGTCGCTCGGCAGAGGAGGCAGCTCGTTACTACTGTTGTTAGAATAACAATAGGAAGTAGAAGATGCTTGTGAACCGCCAAACATGTAACTGTCAACTTGATCACAATGAGGCTGAAGCATTGGCGAGTCCGTGGATGAATATTGGTTAAACATCATCATGTAATCGACAGGATCATCACTAGGAGGAGCAGGAGCCGGAGGAGGAGGAGGAGGATCGTCGGGAGAAACAATGGAGGTGACGGAGGAGGAAGGAGGCATGTCTGAGTAGACAAAGTTGGTTCTTGCACGAGTACCACGCATGGACCGAGCGGCTCTATCGTAAGCCAAGGCAGCTTCTTCGGCCGTATCGAAAGTACCAAGCCAGTGACGCTCCTTGGTAGTTGGGTCTCTAATCTCAGCCGCGTATCTTCCCCATGGCCTTCTTCTCACCCCAAGAAACCTTGTACCTGCCTCTTCTTGCTTCTTCTTGCTCTTTGACGATGTTGTGTTCATTCTTTTGATGATCTGATACTAATACCTTGCTTCTTGCTAGCTCGTTGACGATGTTGTGTTCTTTATATATTTTTCTTTAAGTTGAAGGAGAGAAAAAAAAGAATGTGTGTTGGTTTTGGAAAAGCATCCCTTCCACAACCCTTTTATATAAGAGCTTCACCTTTCCTTTTCCTCTCTCTCTATCTTTTCATTTCTCTTTTAATTATTCTTTATTTCAATTAAAACATCATTTTAAAATGGCACAGCGTTGAGTTAATTGTTGCCCATGATATATCAATTATCAATCAATCAAAATTATATAATTATCAAATGATTAAATTTACCACTTGGTAGCATGTTTCATGCATTTCTCAAGGTTGTTCTACACTAGTGGTTTCATTTTCGTACATGGTTCTGCGGATAATAGAATGCTAAGATCGGACTGTATTTGATCATACAGCTGCTAGTTTACACATCGGCTCGATCATTTTGGAAATGCTAAGAGCCTTTTTCTGTGTGTGTTAAAGTGCTGTTTATAAAAAAATCATAACATGAAATTAGAATAATAAAGTAACAATACTTAAACAATCCGCTAGCATACTAATGATATATATATATATATATATATATATATATATATATATATATATTAATATAGATACAATGGTAAATATAGATAGATACACATAATCATCATTACTCAACAATAATAAGCTGAAAGATTAGGAATGATAAAAGCCATGATTAGCATGTTACCTTAGATATCATTGTCCCGTGTCTAATAATAACATGCCCCAATAGATAAATAAAATTTAAAGAGAGAAATAACGTAATAGAGATAAACTATTCAATTCGGAGAATATATTTGGTATAACGCGTCCAAATACTATTGCATGTGATGGTCCAAAATTAAATGGTCGATGGAATGTGCATGAACTGAGAATTTAACATGAAAAGAGAAGCAAAACCCATGATTACTTCATATATGAAAACGTAAAGAAATTTTATTATCAATCATACAACACATAACAACAATGAGTTTGGTGTTTGGTTAAGAGTTAATAATTGGTGGGGGGAAAAAAGAAAGAAAAGGGTGCAATGATGGCCGCATGATGGAAGAAGTTAGTCCGACTTAATTATGAGGAGAGCAAGTCATTATATGTGTATTAATCTTTGTATAACTAATAAGTCAGAGCAAGGTCGGGTTTTGACTTTTGACCATTAGACATTAAAAGAGTTGAGAAGTCTCACATTAGAGAGAGATTATTATGATATATGATACGAGTATCTAAGGAAGCAAGTGGTAGCCTTTCTAAGACGATCTTATTTTGTGTCAGAGGAAGACCAAAGACCATTTATGTTTGGCTAATGGCTACACGACCAACGTTAAGGACGGTGATAGTGGATCGTATATTTTCTTAATCTTTTATAATTTATACGCCCCATTAGTCTCTGCATGTATAATAATCAGTTAATCACAATGTGTAGTTGTTATTATATTAACTAGGGCTGTCAGCCCGTGCATTACCGCACGGGAAAATGAAAACTTAAAATAATTAACATTGTTAAATAATGGTTTTGAAAAATTGATTATAATCTTCTAACTGTATAAATTTTTTTAATTTACGAATTTATTTTCTTTACCTTTTCTATATTATGATATATTAGATTTGTGAGACTGAGAAAGTTTTCTTACAATTTCATCTTTATCCCTCAAATGATATTTTTCTGTTGGTATCGCTGCAATTTAATTCTGATGATCCTAGAGAGTCAAAAGAGTTCAACATTTATGAACAGCCATTTTTTACTCTTAACGTGTCCCTTTTTTTGCTTTATTTAAAAAACAAAATTGTCAACGCAATTATGAAATGAACTTATAGCTACTGCCTTGAAAAGAATATCAAAAATTCATGTCTTTTCTTTTTATAAAATCTAAGAAGCTTTTTGAATACAAAGCTCAACTATTTCTATCATAATACATGTTTCAAACACCAATGAATCATTAGTCCCATAAAACTAATGAGACAACTCTACAGATTCAACTAAATTCAACATAACATTATAGGAACATAAACAATGCCTAAAGAAACATCAATGAGAAAGAATATGCTTGAACATGAGTCGGTCAACGTCGATTAGTAAATAGAAAAATAATATTTAAATTTTTTGAAACTCAGAAGTGTGCAACAATACTCAGAAAAACAAAAACTCTTTTCAAAGTCCATAGAATCTATATATATATATATATATATATAAATATATATATATATATATATAAACAAAGAGGTGTGAAAACAAAAAGATGTGAAAAATAACATGTGTGAACATTTAAAGTTAGGGGTACAACGAATAAACACAATTGTTAGATATAAAACCTGGAGGTACAACGAATAAAAACAATTGTTGGATATAAAACCTTGCAACTTTTGACATCAATAAAAAATATAAACCGTTAGATGAGACTAAAACAATCTCATTCGTCAGATTAAAACGATGACATCAGCAATCATAAAAAGTGGGTTTGCTATTATATATAGATAAAGGATTGGAGAATAACCAAGGGAAAAAAAAAACAATGTAGGGGGTAATGCATGTGCTCGCAATTGCATAGGCTGCAACTTCAATGTATAGTGCCACACCCTCTTTTCATCTCACCATTTTCTAATCCCAAAGCATCTTAATCTTATTTTCTTATTTTTGTCCGCTTGGCTAATACTAGTATTATATAGTCTCTTCCTAAATTCAATTTCTCGATAATATATTCTGACCAAAATACTCCATTCAATTTGGTTTGCCTCGAATACTATTTTAGAATTTGTATAAACAAAAACATGCATTATTGAGAACAAAGGAATTTGGGTTGCATGTGAGCAATCTTTTATATGCTTTTGAATATTTTTCATCATCTTTAATCATAATTTGTCATTGGAGTAAACAAACCCTATAATTTTGTGTTCCCTCTCTTTTGACCAACTCTCATATTTCTCGTTTAGTATATTATATTCTTAAATCTGCAATCTTGATGCATTGAATCTTGATTACATTTACGTTTCGTTTCCATTCTCTATCTGCCTCTTGATTTTATTCTCCGATAGCATCCATCCTTGGGTTTCTTTACAAAAATTAATGCTGCGTTCTCATTATCTACGGTGGAATAAGAGTACATGTAAAGATTATATAAAATGTAATTCATGGACGTAATATTTTATGCGAATCCTACTTAATTCGGGCTTAGGCCAAGATATAATTATCACCCCTTTTTTTAACAACCGTCGCTACTCTAAAGTGACTTCCGGCATTTGATAGATCATTCTCGAACGTTGATGTAATTTCACGAATAAATTGAGATATACATTTTTGGGAACCGGAAGAGTGTTTTATGTTATGTTTCTAGTCTTAATTATGTTTTAGGCCTCTAATTGTGTTTTATTTGAGAGTAAGAAGAAGAAAAAACAAAACAGGGGGAGAGGAAAGAAGAGAAGGCATGTGCGCCCAACGTGGAAAGGCATTCTCTTGGACGCTTAACATAATTAAAATTTAATCCTTTTACTAATTATTGCCTACACAAATACCTTTTGTCTTATTCAAGACTAATTACTCTCTTTATCAAACGACCATGTGATGAGATGAGCGCACTATGGAGTAGAATTCATAATTTAAAAAGTTCAACACCAAAGTAAGTCCTACTTTTGCACATCTCAACCTAATAGACAATATGAGAGAAGTTTTGGGCCACGAGCTTCTTTGCAGTCACCGGTCACTTAATCTAACCAGTCTACTATACAAGTTATCCGATACCGTAGTGTTAAAAGTGTTGGAATTAAGGAGTTAAAAGTCAACTGTAACAACTAACAAGTGATAATTACCTTCCAACATTTACAATGCCACTCACTCAGCTTCGTCTCCTTTTCAGAGGAACAAACTCCTTTTGCTTAAACACATCTACTTCCTTTCCTAGTTGCTCTGCTATCTCCTGCATCCTCTTCTGAGACTCAGCCATTTCTCCAGCCACTTCCCTGCAACTTGCTCCAAATTCTAATGTCTCAGCCTCACAACAAACTATCTCCTTCTCTGTTTCAAGTAAACTTTTCCTGAGATGACAAGTTTTCTCATGAAGCAACCTTAGTCGCCTGTACGACGCCATAAACTCACTCAACAATTGTACATGTTTCCCAGACAAACTCTCCAACTGAAGCTTCTCCGAGTTGTATCGTTCAATTAGGTCCTGCAAGTAAGGGAATGAACCCTCAGCTTCACGAGCTCCAGGTTGCTCATGGTTTGCCCTTTCATGTATCACAACAGAACCACTAGAGACCGTATCTTTGATGAAATCACTCATTACTTCATCCACACTCAGCTTGGAAACAGTAGAAGTTGTTGGCTGATCACCAGGTAGAGTCTTGTTCCATGGCTCTTCAGTTTCGCTCAGAACCAGATCAAACAGAGGGACACCTATGTAAAAATAGCATAAGTGTTAAAAGAACAAGAAAGAATACTTCCAGCATTGTGCTTAAAAGAATCAAAGTTGAAGTACCTTGGTTCGCAGCAGCAGCAGAATGTGTATCAGAAACAGACATGACATCCGGATTCTCGAGTATCGAACCATCCTCTACGCCGCTAACAGAAGCTAGACATTCTTTCACAGTTACACCAACACCAGGCTTGAAACTATTCTCAACACCACTCAAAATCTGATCAGCTTCCATCCAGAAATCAATCTCATCTATTGATTCACAGCTCTGAAGCAGCTCAACATCTTCCCACTTGAAAAATCCACATGCTCCAAAACCCTAGAACGATTCCTTATACATGAACTAACCAGATAATTTTTCAACTCAAAGAAGAGCCTTTAAAAGTTAGGAATAAATCAAAACCTTTTTGATGCAGCATATAAGGTAGGCTCTACCAGAAACGTCTTTAACTCTTCGACAAGGTCCAGCACCACAGGGACAAATAGGGATGGTGAAGGCAGGACGGAATCTGATATCTTCATCGGTCACTTTGTCACACCATTTGAAGAAATTGCAGCTCTGAGTCTGCCAAATTTTCGAAAAAGAAAAACAGTAAGAAACTCAAATTCGATTCGAGAGATTTCAAAATCAGTATAAAGAGAGTGAAGTACGAAACGAACCGCAGGGCACTTGTAGAACTTCTTTCCGGGGTTTTCTCGGGTGGTTGAGACTTTGAAATAACAGACACCGCCGCCGCAAGGGCAGTGAATCCGCGGAGGAGTATCATCGGCCTTTTTGAGAGGACAATCGCTGATCCAGTGACCAGGCTGACGGCATCGGAAGCAATTCCCGGTCTGCATCGAGTCGTCGACGTTAGGCACTCGTCCAACATTTTCCTTACTCGGGGGAATTATATTATGGGCCTCAAGCCAGTGTGTTTTCTAAAACGTTTACAGGCTGCCCATGGACGGACTGGGCTTGATGGGCTTTAAGGTTTAAGCGGATTTAGATCTACCATGTGTGCGTAATAACATTACGGTATATCAAAACCATGTCGTTTATGTAATTCGATTATGTGGTTTCATAATTCATATAGTCAATAGAACGAGTTTTTTTTTTTTTTTTTGGGTTAACCAGTCAATAGAACGAGTTAAGTACTTAAATTTCTATTGATCACTTTCTACAGCATACGTAGGTGGGGGTGCTCGATGCCTCCATTTGTGTTTTTTTTTGCTACATCATTTTTTTTTTTATCATGTAGTATGCTAATGTAGGAATATTTAATTATTAGGTATATTAAATATATGTCCCCGGTTAATAAATTTCATGGATGGCCTATTTGGAGTGGTGTGGTAGATAAAAAAACAACGAGTGAAATGATACTAGAAAAGGATGTGACGAGCGAGAATATTAATTCCTGTAAACGAGAAGGAACCAAAAAAAAATACGTCTATGCGTTTGGAAAAAGACGAAAAAAGAGCAGAATGAGATACCACGCTAACCTATATGATGGGGGTGGGAGTGAGAAAACGAGGCGTACCTAAAAAGTAATACTACAGTTTAAGTTAATTTTACAAGGTTAACAAACTGAGAACCATAGATTTAGTAGCTAAACACAATGGAGTTAAGTATGCACGTGTACTGGTGGGAAGTAACATCTCCGTATAGTGGAGAATATATACATACAACTACCTCTTGTAGTTTTGTAGCTCTATGCCTATCTACGTACATTATTATATGTACTTAGGTCAATACACACATATGTAAGGTTTTATTGCATCCATAATTATTTTTTTGTAGTTTATAGCAATTTACATTGATTGAATTAGTTTTAATAATCGTTTGGATATTTTTTTCTTAACAATAAATATTTTAATGTATTTCTTTTATTTCATAATTAAAATTCATCATAATAATTATTTTTATTTTTATTTAATTTTAACACTTATTGTGATGATCACATAGTTTAATCATATATATAAAAGTAAGGTTCCACTCTCTCCTTATTGGTGGAAAAATATTTAAGCCTTTAATTTTTTTTTATAAATAAATAAATAAATGTTTATGACAATCATTCAATACAAAATTTAATTACACTATAAGTTATAATCAAATGGCAAAGAAAATGAAAGGACTTAATCATATATCATACAACAAATTTTATAAGCCTTATTGGTAGAAAATTATTTAAAATCATATATATAAAAGTAAGGTTCCACTCTCTTTATTGTTCCATTTTGTATTTATTTTTTAAAATATAATATTTATTTTTAACCAAAAAACACATTTAATCATATACATTAATTCATACTTTAAATTCACACTTTACTACTAAAATGAAACTGAAAATTATATAAATTTCCAAACACTATTGGTTTTCTTTATTGAATTCCAATTAAACACACTATAAATTATAATTATAACTCCTCTAATTTAATTATTTTAAAAATGTAACTTACATCACTTCTTATCATATAAATAATCATTCTCACATCCTTCTCTACCTACCATATCTCATATCTTCATTATTCTCTTTGTTTTTTTTAAAGTTCTTGCATGGGGTGAAAACTCATTTAAAATATCATTGTAAGAATTTGATTAATTATTTAGTTTAAACTTTTGTTTTCAATTTTACTTATTTTTTGTTTTTATGTAATTCTTTATGTCTTCATTGTTTTTTATATTTTTAAATGTAATACATATGTATAATAATATTTTATGGTTATAAGAAAATCAAGCTAAAGAAACCATCTTCATTCTTTTACTTTGTATGTTTGTTTCTTTCTCACATATTCATGTATATTTAATTTATTTTCAAAAGTATGTAATTTTTTAACAAAATAAACTTTTTGTTATATAATTATCAAACCAATTTGTAAGATATTCTTTTAAGAATAATGATCCTTATATTTAGTTTGTGATTCAACATGTAATAATACAAAGAACATTATAATTTGTTTTAACTTTGAAGTTTATACTTGATTTCCTATCTAAAAAACAATTTGATATTCCATTTTCTATCTATTATATATACTACAAGGATGAAAAATATAATTAAACCTAGAAATATAACTTAAATTAAGAGGAATATAAAAAGAGATTAAAACTAAATTATTTCTTGGGAATTTTTAAGGTTTCACTCTCTCCTTATTGGTCCATTTAACATTTATTTTTTAATTATAATATTTATTTTTAATTAAACCAAATATCTAACACATTTAGTCATATACTTTAATTCATACTTGAAATCCACACTTTACTATTAAATTGTAACTTAAATTATATAACCTTTCAATTGACTATTTGTTTCCTCCATTTAACTTCAATTAACACACTATAAAATATAATTATAACTCCTCTGATTTAATTATTTTAGAATTGTAACTTACATCATATTTTATCCTATAAATACTCATTTTTACATCCTCCTACACCATATATGATATTCTCAATATTTTCTTTGTTTAATTTTTAATGTTCTTGCATGGGTTGAAAGCTCAATTAAGATATCATTGTAAGAGCTTGATTATATATTTGGTTAAAAATTTTTTTTCAATTATATTTCTTCTTCATTTTTTCATTGTTTTTTATACTATTAAATGTATAATACATATGTATAATAATATTTTATGGGTATAAGGAAATTACTTTATCGATGGGATTCAAAAATATTGATTTATGACCATCGCACCATAAGAAAATCAAGGTAAATAAACCATTTTCATTGTTTTACTTTATATGTTTTTTTCTTTCTCACATATTCATGTATATTTATTTTATTTTCAAAGTATGTAATTATTTTAACAAAATATTTTTTTGTTATATTCAAACCAATTTGTAAGACATTGAAATAAATAAAATTTTATACACAAATAAAGGTAATTTTTGTGTATATTTATAAGTTTACACACATATTTGGATAAATTTCAACATTTTTAGTGGTTGTTTTGATAAAGTTTGAAAAGGGGGTAAATTTAAAAAGTGGTATTTTTAAGGGGGAATTTCAAAAATACCCCTTTTCCAATACCACTTTTTAAAATTACCTCTCTTTCTAGTTTTATCAAAAAATCACTATAAATTTTGAAATTTATCAAAAATATATGTGTAAACTTATATTTATAGAAACAAATTATCTTTATATGTGAGTAAAATTATATATATATCATAAATACCTTTTAAAAACCTTTTAAAAGTCATTTAAAAACCTTATAAAAACTGTGTAAACCTTTTAAAAACCTTATAAAAACATTATAAATGCCGTTTAGAACCTTTTAAAACCTTATAAATATTTGGATTTAGTCTCCCAGTAGTAATGATGATCTCGATGTACCTTATTAATCATATAAAAGTTTATAATTTTTCATATTTGAAAAGGGGTATTTTTAAAAATGGATAGAAAAGAGGGGTATTTTTAAAAAGGGGTACACCAAAAGGGGTATTTCTAAAAAATTCTCTATTTTTAAAGGGGTATTTTTTAAATTCTCCCAATATCATTTCTATTTTTATCATTAACAATATTATTGT